AATCTGCAGCACCGGCACCTGAATCCGCAGCACCGGCACCTGAAGCCACAGCACCGGCACCACCACGGAAGGCCGCATTACCATCACTTCCACTCCCGTCTCTTCCAACCAATCCCCTCCCTGCCGCTGCGACTCGTGCTCTCCTCTCCTGTAATCCCTGCAGCAGCAGATGGTTTTTTAGTCGAATCAGGCTGCTCCCACTCCCGTCTCCTCCACCGAAGCCCGTCTCCCCTCTCTCTCCTAAGCCCAGCAGCACTTCTGCAGCAGCAGCGCCCTGATGATCTTCGCCCTCCTCCATATCCCTTTGCAGCTTGTGAGGCGCCTCAAAAGCAGGGCCCCCATAATCCCCATCCACCTCCATATGCTTCTTCTCGGTCCAACCGCTCCTTCCTCCCTCCTTGGGCTTTCCTCCCCACGGGGCATCAGCATGAGCAACGGCATTCGCAGCAGAATCAGCAGCACCGAAAGCTGCAGCGGGGGCAGCAGCAGCCGCAGCAATCGTAGCAGCAGCAGCATCAGTGGCAGCAGGAGCCGCAGTAGGAGGAGGAGGAGGATGAGCAGCAGCAGGGGCAGCAGGGTGTGCAGGCAGGGAGCCCTTGGCTTGCTGCTGAGCGTCAGAAGCTGTCTGCTGAGCTTCAGCTCGTCTCATCCCCACGGCCTCCATCCATGCCTCAAGACTCCTCGACGACGGCAACGACTGGCTCATAGTACCGCTGCTGCTCCTCTTCCTCTTCTGCTCCTCCCCATCCTCCTCCTGTCTCGAGAAATCGCTTCTCCTCCTCCTCTCCTCCATCTCCCTCACAAATCCTCTCAGCTTCATCTCCTGGAGGTCTGCATTGCTCGCCGCCTCTCTCCGTCCTCCCTCCCTCACTCCACCGCCACCATCACCGCCACCACCATCACCACCAGCAGCACCACCGCCACAACCAGTAATGCTCCATCCCACCACTCCACTCCGCGTGTCCTCCATCCCATGCCACGTGGCAGCTGCAGATTGGGTACCAGCCGCACCGCCAGACAACTCGCCATCCAAGCATGTGCGCGCCCTCACTGGCTTTGCATCACGACGCATCCAGGAAGGTGCCCCCAGCGGCCACTTAGGCATCTCCAGTGTCTGCTGACGTGGACAGGGTGAAGTGCGCGGACTGAGCTGATTGGCTGGAGGCTGGAAAGCGATCAACTTGACTGTATTATCAGCAGAGCTATCTTGGTTGGCGAATGGCAGTGCGGAAGGGAATGGGTGGACAGCAGCAGCAGCCGGTGTGTAATATGTCGATTTTCGAGTCGGTTCAAGCATGGGTGTGGTCTTGACAGAGGGAGCAAGGGTGTGGGTGAATGGTGGCTTGGAAGGGGGGCAGGAGGGGGAAGCAAGGGTGGAGAGTGCTTGTCGCTGCAGCAGCCACAGTCGCATCCAAGGAGGTGCCGTTGCTGCTGCTGCTGCTGCAGTTGCTGCCGATGCTGTTTCTGCTGCTGCTGCTGCCGTTGTTGCTGCTGTTGCCGCTGCAACTGTGGCTGAAGCTCTTGCTGCTGCTGCTGCTGCTGCTGCTGCTGCTCCCTTTCCCTCCACCCTTTTGTCGCATGGCTGCAGAGGAGGCATGAGGCTTTCAGGGGGGTCCAGGCTGCTGGCAGAAGAACGAAAAGAGAGGTGGTGGGCTGATTGCGAGGGCAGCTGGAAGGGATGAGAGGGAGTCAAGGGATTGTCCTGCCACGTGGCATGCTGCAGCAGCCTTGACTGATACGTGCACGTGGCGCTGGGCGGCATGCCGCGCGCCTTCTCTGCTCCGCCCCACGATTCCCTCCATGCTGAGCTGGCAGATGGATGACATGCGTCAGCAGGTGTTCTGAACACGTCAGCAGGTGCTCTGTATGCGTCAGCAGGTGACTGTAACGAGGGGGGAGAGGGTGAGGCGTCTAATGTTGCTGGCAGTTGGGATGGGAAGAGGCGTGAAAGCCAGCGAAGCTGGTTCTCTGCTGCATTGTATGGTTCACCCAGCATTAGCGGCTCTGCAGCACGAACAGCGGTAGTAGTAGCAGTGGCGGTGGAACGAGCACCAGCAGTAGTGGCAGCAGCACTGGTAGCAGCACAAGCAGCAGCTGCAGAAGTGCTCTCGTTATGAGGGTGCTGCTGCACTCGCTGACGCACAGTGCCCCATTTCGAGCTTATAACGAATGCCGCTCCCCCAGCAGAACCAACAGCCGCAGCAGTGGCAGCGGCAGCCTCAGCAGCAGCAGCAGCAGCAGCAGCAGCAGCAGAAGAAGAATGGGTGGGTGCGGCGGCGGCAGCAGCAGCAACGGCGTCGGCTGAGAAAGCGTCTCTGACACGTTTACTACTACTGCCAGGCGTGCAAGATTCCTCTTGAAGATTCACATAGTAGTAGTCTGGAAATGAACTGCTACGCGTGGCATTATTAATAGTAGTTCCGCCTTCGCCTGGTAAGTGTAGCAGCATTCCTCCGCCACCTCCTGGCGGAAACCACCGGCTAGGGGCGCGCGAGTTGGAGCTTCTTCCGCTTCCGCCGCTCCCTCCCTTACCGCCGCCCCTGTTGCCCCCGGCGGAGCTGTTACCCCCGTTGTGCGCGGATTTGTGTCCGCCGAGGGCCTGCAGTGAGTGGAAGCGGGCTCCGCACACGAGGCACGTGAACTGCGGCAGTTCCAACGCCGCCATTAGTCAAGACGAGGTTTGGTCCAAGTCTTATTGCGCAAGGCCTCAGCTGATGACTCGTATAGAATTGCGTCTCAGGTGCTAGTATCGGCGGGTGTAGTAGAGCCTCGGGTGTTAGGAGGTTTCAGCAGGCTGAGAAGACACTTGAGCAGAGTATGAGCCGGGCATAGTGAGTGAGAGCTCGAGATTTTCCGGTGAGCGTTACACTGCCACCAACGTGGGGCAAGGGGGCTCTTACGAAAGAGAGTGGTAAGAGGTAGGCGGCGTATTGGTTGAGAGAGGAAATTGGCAGAGCTGGTAACTTGAAGAGTGAAAGAGAGAGAGACAGACAGCGGCTCTTGAAGCAAGTTTCTGACAGTTAGGGAGCAAGACGCTGGGAAACGGATTCGTTCTGCTTATGAGTCGACTCGAAGGCAGACTCATGGACAAATTCCGCCGTGTTTCTTTGCAAAACTCTGCATAGGCGACGCGGAGAAACTACTACGAAGGTGCTTAGAGGGTTTCACCAGAGGCCGCTATGCCACCAGCAAGCCTAAAAAACAGGGTCGAAAGAAGCAGCCTGCTGTATTTGGGTTTGGGACTACTTTGGGAGCAGACGACGGCATATTCTCTTGGGACCGGACGACGATGTGACGACGATGTAATGCTGCTCCCCCGACCCGGAGCATGCTTTTGAAAAAAGTTTGCAGGTTTGCGAGTCACTACGTGGCGACTCGAAGAAGGAACGAGTTGCGTTGCGTGGTCAACCCATCAGCGGCAGTTTGGCTGCTGGGAGAAACAGAAGCTTTGCCGTACGAATCAACCTCAGAAAAGCGGCTTTTTTTAGCGAAACGCGTCTCGTTTTCTTGGCGTCGGTGAAGGCTGGGCGGAAAGCATTTATTGTTTCGCACCAATCTCATGGAGGCTCTGGCTCGACGCTTGGCAGACAGGCAGACTTTGCCGTGCTGCGCTGTACAGAAGAGTCGGCTGCCTGCCTTTCACGTTCAGCGAGGTTCACTCAATCGCCCGGAAGTGACATCCGATTGGATCCCGGTGCGTGCTTGTGGGCATGTGAATTGACCTATGACATCATGCTCTGCAAACGAGCCTTTCTGCTGCAAACGAAACTGCAAGCTTCTGTAGACCGTATTTTCAGCATGCGTAGGTAGACTTGCACCGCTGCTTTCTGGCGGTTCCGAGTTGTAAGGACTGACGCTCTCCACTCAGCAAACTCAACAACAGGCGTTGACAGATGGACCTTGCACTGCCAGGTGGGTGAACGATGACGGGGATTCGGGGAGTCCGTTGAAGAATGGCTGTAGGGAGTAGCAGTGATGGCGCTGGGAGTAGCAGTGATGGCCTCAAACCCGTCAACCTTCGTGCGCACGCGAATTTCAGTGAGCTTCGTTACTTAGCCAAGAGAAGAAAAATTCGACATTGCAATGTCCAATTCCTCGGGTGGTTGTTTGCAATCGTTAGCTGGTTGTGTTTCCAAAACATTGTTACCTGACAAGGTTCCAACTTCCATCCCTTCTCTTCCCGTATAACTGTAGTACTGTTATAATTAAAATGTCGGCACACTTGGATCGGATTTGAGAGAAGGGTGGCTTTGGAAAACCGAAAGCTAGCAGACCCACACTTGCAAGATTGAAGACGATAGCAGACCCGAAGGGTATTTGTGATTAATACACTCTGGAAATAGGCCAGACTTTCCTAAATAGCACCTTTCTAATGAGGCAAGGGAGGGTCTCTTGACATGACTCGTGGAGAGAGGATGAAGATACGTATGACCCGATATGACATGCAGCGTACTGGTCGGGATTTTGAAGATATACAGTATCCGACCTGCGATCTCTTTCGCAAACATCTGTACGTACGGGCCAGATGAAAATCTGCGACTAAGAGGAAGTCACAAACATGTCACCAACTCTCGTGATGGAGGAACTGCCGCCAGGTCATAGGATCCTTGATGCTGACGCTAATCGGCATTTTTTCTCGTGCGCAATAATAATCTGGCGCTTGGTCATGGGAGACGGATTAATGTAATTCGTTAGCAGTTGTCCCTTGGTGACAGCGAAATGTTCCTCACGTGACACCACAGTTGTGCTGTAACGCAGCTTCCCGAAACTCGGGAGAGTTGTGGTCAACAACAAAGCTCGACCGTCACCCGGACTGGATGCTGCCGTCACCCAGCAACATCAATTTCCGCGAATCAGCAACTCCAGTTTGATACTCGCCATGGTTATCTCTCGTTGCTATGCATCGCTGAGACAAAATAAAAAATGTAAACAGAACTGTGTGGCAACACTATATACAAGACAATACTGACATGTTTTCCTTGCATGTGCAATGCATTCACCTATCCTTCAGCGTCTTCAAGCCACTCTATCAAATCACCACCATAAGGGTCAGCGACCGTTGACCAATCGAGGTCACTGGCAATCATGCCATTTGCACCATTCCCACATAAAATCGTAGTCAGCATGCTAGCAGCAGCGTCCTCTGGCAAGGTTAGGAGCCCACATGAGCTAATGTGAAAATCAGGGTGGGATGCGATACCAGTATGACCCGGATGAGTAGATGGGGGAGGAAGGTTACGTAGGAGTGCAGTTTGCGAATGAGATGGAAATGGTTGTAGGGAATAACTAGGACGCATAAGAGGCGTATGGTTTGTCAAATGTGCATTCATCGTGATATCAATTGGGGAGGTCGAGAACACCGGAGGCTGATTACCGGGGGCCAATGGCAAGACTTCCAATGCTTGTGTCTCTACCCGGGTCGTTTCAAGCTCGCATTGTTTGTCCGGTCCTTGAAAATGACTCGGCAAGGGTGTCTCAAGAGTGTCGTTGGGCTTTATTAGTGGATGCTGGGCTCCTAAGGGTCGTGCTGCTGGGATGCCAGCCACATGGGCTCCTTCTGCTTGCACTGCCTGATGCTGCTGCTGATTCTGGTGCTGGTATTGCTGCTGCTGATGCTGCTGCTGATTCTGGTGCTGGTATTGCTGCTGCTGATGCTGCTGAGACTGATGCTGATGCCATTGCTGATACTGCTGCTGGTAAAGCTGCTGCTGTTGCTGATGTAGTTGCTGTTGCTGCTGCCATTGCTGTTGCTGCTTTCGTTGTTGTTGCTGCTGTTGTTGCTGTTCTTGTTGCTGCTGCTGCTGCTGCCGCCGTTGTTGCTGTTGTTGGTGGTGTTGCTGTTGTTGTTGCTGTTGTTGTTGCTGTTGTTGTTGTTGCTGCTTCTGCTGCTGGTGCTGCTGCTGCTTCTGCTGCTCCTGTTGTTTCTGTATTTCTTGTTGTTGCTGCTGGTGCTGCTGCTGCTTCTGCTGCTCCTGTTGTTTCTGTATTTCCTGTTGTTGCTGCTGCTGCTGCTGCCACTGGCGGTGGCGATGCTGCTGCCGGTGATGGTGATGGTGGTGGTGGTGCTGCTGCTCCCGCGATTCAGACACCTGATGTTGTGTGCCTTGCTGCACATGTAGCTGTGCCGAATGTGGCACCTGATAATGCAGCACCTGATTTTGCACCTGATGTGGCACCTGATATTGCTGTGTCTCATATTGCCGCAACTCCTGTCGCTGCACCTGTTGTTGCTGCACCTGCTGCTGCTGCTGCTGCTGCTGCTGCTGCTTCTGCTGCTGCACCTGTCGTTGCTGCACCTGCTGCTGCTGCTCCTGCACCTGCTGCTGCTGCTGCTGCACCTGCTGCTGATTCTGCTCTTGCATGTGCCCCAGCACACTTCTCTCTGCGTCACTGACCGTTCTCATCCAGGGATGACCCCCATCCAGTGCAGTCCACGGCCTTCCATTCCCACCACTTCCCACCTGCTCCCACCCCATTCCATCCCACCGCCATGACCCTTGAAGTCTCTCCTTCTCCCAACTTTCACCCCCCCTCCTCTCCTCCTCCCAAAGTCTCGCCTCCCTCCTCTCTTCCCCTCCCCTTTCCTCATCCGTCCTCGTCCCCTCCCTCCTTGTCTCCTCCCTCGCTTCCTCTGCACTCCTTTCCTCCTCCATCCTTCGTACCTCAACCGCATTATTGCCCCTTGTGTGCCCATCCGTCCCTTGCACTCCACTGGCTCCTAAACGCTGCACGTGATGAGACAACTCTTGATTCGACTCTAAAATCGCCTGATTGTCCCTGGTTGCCTGCTCTACACCGAGCATTCCACCCGGGAGCATTCCACCCCCTCCCAACCCCCGCATCCCTCCTGCGTCACCAGCCCCCACTCCGTCTCTCCCACCACTCTCCTTAGCACTCCACATCACATCCCCCCCACCGCCACTCCACAACCCCTCCCTCCCCCGCCTCTCCTCCCTCCTCCTCCGCTGCTCCAGCCCCGGTTCCTTCCCCTCCCACAGCCTCTGTGCCTCCTCGAAAGCACGCGATCGCCTCTCCTCCCTCCTGCGCTGCTCCAGCAGCGAACCTGTTCCCTCCCATGCCAGTATCGCCGCCGCTACCTGCTGTGAGCTCGCGCCTACCAGGGATTCATATACTGCCGAAGAATTGGCTTGGGTTGCCGTGAGTGGAGCAGGAGAAGCAGGAGCAGCAGCAGCAGCTGCCGCCGCTACCTGCTGTGAGCTCACGCCTACCAGGGATTCATATACTGCTGAACTTGCCACCGGTGAAGGTGCAGCAGGTGCACCAGGAGTAGAAGCAGCAGGAGCAGCAAGAGGAGCAGGAGGGGCAGCAGGAGCAGGAGGGGCAGCAGGAGCAGGAGAAGCAGCAGGAGCAGGAGAAGCAGCAGGAGCACCAATGGCAGCAGGAGCAGCAGGAGCAGCAATGGCAGAAGGAGCAGCAGGAGCAGCAAGGGCAGCAGGAGCAGCAGGGGAAGCAGAGGCAGGAGAAGCAGCAGGAGCAGGAGGAGCAGCAAGGGAAGCAGGGGCAGCAGGGGCAGTCGAGGCAGGAGAAGCAGAAGAAGCAGCAGGAGCAGCAGGAGCAGAAGCAGAAGCATATCTAGGAGAAAAAGCAGCAGCTACCTGCTGAGAGCTCACACCCTCCATGGTAGTGTGAGAAGTCGAAGTGGTGGCATCGTGAGACATTGACATGCCCGCATGAGATGTTGACGTGCTTGCGTGGGAAACGGAAGTCCAGGGAACTTCTTGAGAGATGAACACTTGCTGCTGCTCGTGCTGCTGCTGCTGCTGCTGCTGCTGCTGATGAAGATGATGATGCTGCTGATGCTGTTGTTGCATTTCCCACCACCTCTCAGTCTCCGAAAATCGAGGTTCCAAGCCCACCGACTGCTGCTGTTGCTGCTGCCCATACCACTGCTGTTGCAAATGATACTGCTGATGCTGGGGCTGCTGCTGCTTCTGCTGCTGATGATGATGATGCTGCTGCTGCTGCTGCTGCTGCTGCTGCTGCTGCTGCTGCTGCTGCTGCTGCTGCTGCTGCTGCTGCTGCTGCTGCTGCTGCTGCTGCTGCTGCTGCTGCTGCTGCTGCTGCTGCTGCTGCTGAAACAAGGGGTAGAGGTCTGAGAATGACCGTATGGCCCTATCGTGCCCACACAGGGGAACCTTCCGCTTCCTCTCTCCGTCCCCCATTGCCACTGCACCTTCCTCTCTCCCTCCATCCACCCTCCGCATTCCACCACCGTCCAGCACCTCACTGCACCCCCCACCATCCACTCCAGCAGCAGCAGCAGCAGCAGCAGCATCCCTGGCAGCAGCATCACTGGCAGCATCTTCACCGCTCCCCACGCCACTCAACCGCCCAGCAACAGCTGCCGGAGCAGAGAAGGCCGGACCACCACCAGCAGCCGCAGCAGGGGCATCAATAGAGTACGCCTCTCCCCCCCTATCCCACCCCTGATCTAACTCAAATAGCATTGCTAGCTGCTGTTCCAACGCCCCGCAAACCCCACTCTGCCCCGCCGCTTCTCCTTCCCCCTCCCTTTCCCCTTCAACTTCCACTGCCCCTTCCCTCTCCGCTTGTCTCTGCCCCACCCCCCCTGCCCCCCTCTCCCCTGCCCTTTTCCTTGATTTCTCCCCTTCCCACACTCTTTTCCCGCTATCCTCTCTGGTCCCTCTACTCTCCTCTCCATCACGCATAATTTCCTCTCCCAACGCTGCTGAGTACTCTCTTTCCCCTGCTGCTGCTGCTGCTGCTGCTGTTCCTGCTGTTGCTACAGGTGGTGGTGGTGGTGGTGCTGCTGCTGCTGCTGTAGCAGCAGCCGTCGCAGCTGTGACTGACACAATTGGAACGGATTTAGCGACAGTAGCTGCAGCTGACGGCGCTACAGCTGGCGACGCCACTGTAGCATTGCTAGGAGCCGTAGCAAGGGTCTCAGGAAGAGAAGCCCTGGCATGTTCCTTGGCAGTTGCACCCTCAGCTGTAGCAGCAGCCGTCTTGGCCTGTAGCTGTGTCGCACTCCCCCCACCCTGCTGCTGTGAAACCATAGCTGTAGCCATGGCTGTAGCTGTAGCAGCAGCCGTCCTGGGCTGTAGCTGTGCCTGACTCGTTCCAACCGGAGCTGTAGCAGCAGCCCTTTGAAACTGTAGCTCAGTCGCGCTCCCCCCACCCTGCTGGTGAGAAACCATGGCTGTAGCCATATCTGTAACCATAGCTGTAGCCATGGCTGTAGCTGTAGCTGTGGCTTGAGACTTGTGTTTCTCCAGGAACCTCCTGCTCTTGGGGCACGTAGCATGACGTGAGAGGATGGGGCACGTGGCATGACGTGAGAGGATGGGGCACGTGACATGACGTGAGAGCATGGGGCACGTGGCATGACGTGAGAGCATGGGGCACGTGGCATGACGTGAGAGCATGGGGCACGTGGCATGGCGTGAGAGCATGGGGCACGTGGCATATCATAAAGCCTTAGGTCGTATCCCAGCCAAGTGTCAAGAAGTTGGTGTCAAGAAGTTTGCGCACCCGATTTGTCCAACAAAGATGCATGGCCAATGCGATTGGCCAAGCGTTTTTTTCAACCAATCGCGTGCGCTAACTTCTTGACACCAACTTCTTGACATTAGGCTGGGATACGACCTTAGTGATGGCATGGTGATGGCAAAATAGACGGACCACACAGTTGCTCATGGAAAACGGAACCAAACAATATAGTAGCAATAGTATTAGTAAAAGTTATAGTAATAAAAATATTACTAACATTGATAGTAACAATGATAATACTAACTCACTTATTAGAAAGGATAAACCGGTTGTGCGGTGAAGTGCGGTGCGACTCACTTTTTGAGAAGAATGAAGCGGTTGCAGCATGCCTTGTTGTCGCGCAGAGGCAGCGAGCGGCTTCGCTGCAGCAGCCCCCAGTTGCGCGTTCCGTAGCGCGTGACGTGGCGCAGCAACACCCTGTCCTCCTGGGGCCAGGAGGGTATAAGGCGGAACGGGGAAGGGGGAGGGAAAAGACTTATTGCTTGACTGCGCGTGCCATAGGGCGTGAAGTGGCGCAGCAACACCCTGTCCTCCTGGGGCCGGGAGGGGATAAGGGAAGGGCGATCAAGGAGGCTGTGAAGCAGCTGCACCTGAAGCCACTGCCTGGCGGCCTTGCTGGTACTAACGAGGCGGCTTATAACGAACGCCTGCCGGCCGCTCACCTCGTTGGTCCATCGGAGGAACTGCTCCGAGGGGGAACGTCGCCGTGTCTGCCGCTGCTGCTTTGAGGCGACTCAAAATACACAGAAAGACACCTGTTAAGTCTACTATAAACACGCCTCACCTCGTTGGTCCATCGGAGGAACTGCTCCGGGGGAACGTCGCTGTGTCTGCCGCTGCTGCTAAAACTACCACCGGTGGCGCCGCCGCCGCCGCCGGCGCCAACACCGGAATACCATGGCGTCGATCCCAGCAGCCCACTAGTCGGCGTTTGAGTCGGCGCAAAGGGCAACAGCACACTACCAGCTGGTTCATCCGGCTCAAACGCAAAGGGCTCGTTGATCCGAGTCGGGTCGCCAGAGAGCCCGCCTGCGCCAGCGCTTGCGCTTAGTAGGCCTCCGCCAAACACTCCGCCTGACCTTCCGCCTGGTCCCCCGCCCAAGCTTCCGCTTGGGTCTCCCCCTATTAAGCCTCCGCCTCCGCCAAAGCCTCCCTCTGAGCCTCCCCCAAAGCCTCCCCCTGAGCCTCCGCCATAGCTTCCCCCTGATACTCCCCCTGAGCCTCCTCCAAAGCCTCCCCCTAAGCCTCCTCCAAAGCCTCCCCCTGAGCCTCCGCCATAGCCACCCCCTGATACTCCCCCTGAGCCTCCGCCAAAGCCCCCCCCTAAGCCTCCGCCAAAGCCTCCCCCTGAGCCTCCGCCATAGCCTCCCCCTGATGCTCCCCCTGAGCCTCCGCCAAAGCCTCCCCCTGAGCCTCCGCCAAAGTCTCCCCCTGAGCCTCCGCCATAGCCTCCCCCTGATACTCCCCCTGAGCCTCCGCCAAAGCCATTTCCTGAGCCTCCGCCATAGCCTCCTCCTGGGCCTCCGCCATGATAACCTCCCCCTGAGACTCCGCCCGAGCCTCCGCCATAGCCTCCCCCTGAGCCTCCGCCAAAAACTCCTCCTGAGGCTCCGCCTGAGCCCCCGTCTGCGCCTCTATTCCGTGCGGCGACCGTTGAAACGCTGTTACTCGTTCCGCTGCGCGTCAACATGCCAGGCTCCGCCTGAGGTTCGCCGCTCCAAGCGGCGGGAGTCCGGCTGTGCGTAGTGGTAGCAGCAGTGGGACTTGGAATGTTATATGTAGTGAAATCTCCTGGAGGTGAAAATAAGAGAGCCCTGGGACCCAGGTGGTTACCTCCGCCGCTCCAGGCCTCCGGTGGCGCATGATCATACCCGCTTCTGGAAATCCCGTTTTCGTTTATGGGGATGGTGGCATTCACATTCTTGCTGCTCCTATGTGGCTGAATTGGTCGGCCGCGCTTCATCATGTCGAGCCACGGCGGCGAAGAGAATTGGTGCTCCGAGCAAAGTTACGAGTCGTAAGAAAGTTACGCCTGAAACCACTACTAGTAGTAATGCCGCATTCTGATCCCGGCGGGCGGGGTCCATGTGGCGTTCTACTAGTAGTGCTATTGAACACGATGTGCCCTCAGAAATTACGACTCAATCCGGATAATCATCCCCATCCAGCGCGCGTCTTTTCCCGTTGGCGGCTCGCAACGCACTTGATACTTTGCAACGAAAAAATAACGAAATGTGAGTTTCACGAACGTGGAGTTTTCAGAGATTCTGTGGCGATGCAATGCGAATGGCATTCGGCGAGCGAGTGCTTCTGGAAATCTCCCACTGAAAGTGTCTCGTGCAGGAATCTTCTTCAGTGGCAACGGAGGAGGCCTTTGCCCGTCGAATAAGCTCCGCCTTTCAAAGGATGCCGCACCTGGCTTATCAGATCGAGGGGCAAGGAAGCCGGGAAAGATGCATGATTTGAGCAGCAAGGGTTTTATAATCATGCTGCCTGTTCTGTCTGTGCATGGCTGTGAGATTTGGAGATTCGGTAAGTGAGGGGAGGTAAGGCTGGGGACCTGGGGTCGTGGAGCGGACCCCCCTGGACTCAATTTTGAGAGCAAGTTGGAAAAAAGAAGATTGCGACATTGCGCTTCGGGATGAAGAATGCGATGCGCTTGGAAAATAAAGGCGTCTGTTCCACCTAGATATCTGCGTGGCAAAGGGATGTGGTTTAGACGACGGGAAAATTCATGAACTTGTCCACGTCGGCCAGTCAAACGGCGAACGTCCTAAAACGTAATAATTGCAATACCATTGGGGCCAATCTTGTATGATTTTTTACCCTGAAATTCCGTTGTTCATCACCCTTGTCAGGGAAACGGTCTGCCCAACTGCCAACTTGTCTGCAAATTCTATAGCCTGAACAACGCCGGGAAGCTGAGACCAGGTTCAGTCTCGAATTCAGGTTGACCCACCTTCACCGAAGCTATATTGTCGGCTGCTGATGTGGCAGGTAGTGTTAAACATGCTCTCGCTATTTGAGATACTTGAAGGCACCGTAAAGTCATCATTATTTATATTTTACATCGAGTATGTTGAATAAGAGTTTCAGCATATTTCACCCAGATACACAGCATCTTAATATCTTGGCCTAGAAAATAGAAGGCCTCCAGTCCGTGGCAGAATGAAAGAAAATCAACCTGAAGACATCATCTCCAGCAAAAAGTCTGGGCGCAATGCCGGGACCTCACCATCTTCTCTTGGAGCCACGCAACCATCAATCTGCTCCCCCATTTCCAACCCAGATCGCCCCATCATGCATGCTGGGTAACCAGCGCCACCAATTTTAATGCCAACATCGGTATCCAGGAGAGTCAGGTCCGGCCACGATAGGCAGGAGGTGAGGCTGTTTAAACAAGCCAAAAGCTCCGAATCTGGCACAAGCACCGAACCCGCAGCGTATAGCCCAGCAGCAGCAGCAGTGGCAGCAGTGTCAGAAGCAGCAGAGTCAGGAGCTTTTTTTGTGTCGACAACCGACGAGTGTGCTTCACGACATTCGTCAGCAACTCCTGCCCTCTCCGCGGGCCAGTCGGCGCAGTTTCGACCGGCAAAAGCAGGATCAGGGGCAGCGGCAAAAGCAGGATCACGGCCAGTGGCAAAAGCTGCGTCACGGACGCAAAAATCGCTCTCGACATTGACGGAAACACCCTCCACGTCGACAAGCCGGGCGGCAGGAGGAGCAGGAGAGGCGGATGAGGGGTTTACCTCTGGCGAAGCGGGCGGCACGGGCGAAGAGGGAACAGTGTTGCCAGCAAGGTTCATGGCATACCACTGCTGCTGCTGCTGCTGCTGAGCATGATGCGGCGGTGGTGGTGCAGGGGTCTCATCAGACATCTCAGTGTCATCGCTGCCGAGTCTCACAGCGCCATAGCTTTGGAGTCTGGTGGTTGCCTCCTCCCGCGTCTCCTCCCTCGCCTCCTCCCGCGTCTCCTCCCTCGCCTCCTCCTTGCACGGCCCCATCATCCTCGCTCTCTTCCGCTCACGCTCATCCACGCCCCTCACGCCCCCACCAGAAACATAAGCAGCAGCAGCCGAGGCAGCGGAGGCGGCGGCGGCGGCGGCGGCGGCAGATGAAGCATCGTAGGCGTACGCGGTTTTGGCGCGGTCGATCCGGGGGGCGGCGGCGGGTGAAGCGGCGGCGGGAGAAGCAGAATCAGCAGCAGCAGCACGAGGAGGAGGAGCCTTGGAGGCGCTGTGACGGTGAACCCTCGGAAGAGTCGGAGTGCCGGGCGGAGCAGCACCGCGCGGAGAAGCAACGGGGGGAGCAACGCCAAGCGGAGAAACAGGGGGAGTACCCGGCCCAGGCAGAGCAGCCACCCCCACTGCCAGCGGAGTCCGCGGAACCGGACAAGGGGACAAGCCAACGGCGGAGCTTGTCACATGCTGCGCGTGCGGAAACGCGGAAGCGGCAAACGCGGCGTGATGCGGCGCGAGGGACGTGCGCGACGGGTGCGGGGAGAGATTCGTCGAGTTGTCCGAGCAGGCGGCGGCGGCGGAAGCAGCGGCGGCGCTGGACGCGGCGGCGTCGGCGGCGGTAAAACCCCAATCGCCGGTCAGTTCGACGACGAGACGCGACGACGACTTCCGGGGCGGCATCGCGTCGAGAAGCAGCGAGCGATGCGTCGACGGAGCGGAGGGGAAAGGAAGCGGCGGCGCGGTGAAAGAGTAAGCGTCGAGGGAGTTGAGGGAGTTGAGGGATGTGGAGTGCGGTGAGGTGGTTGAAGACGCCAGTAGGCCCCCAGGGCCGGCCGAGAGGTGATGCTGGTGGGAGTGGTGGTGGTTCAGATTGTTGTCTCGCATTCCCTCTCGCATTCCCGTAACCACGCAGTTCGAGTAATTCTCACGCGACGGATGGTTACCACTGCCAAGCGATTGCTGATTACCGCTCCGAAGAGAATGGTAGCTTGGCGCGCAATGCAGCGCGTAAGCCGTCGCCGTGGCGCTCCAGTGGTGCGGCTCGCCGACCGGCGGCAGCGCCAGCGGCGGCGGCGGGAGCGACCCGCCGCCAGGAGCCGACGGCCTGACGGGATCGGGACCCATCAGGAACGCGCCGTGAGCCACGGAGGATGAGCCGTCTTGCTCGATGAACTTCCTGCGAACAGGGAGCGGAACGAACGGCGGGGGTGAGAAAGTCGATGAGAGGAGAAAATCGCAACGATTGCGACAGAAAGAACAACTTTCGGTGCATTTTTTTTTTTTTTCCGTCAGTTCTGGATGTGCTGCCGTTGGGTAGAAATTTGAAGTTGCAAAAGGTTCAGAGCGGTTTGCGACGCACTTTTTGAGGAGGATGAAGCGGTTACAGCACGCCTTGTTGTCGCGCAGCGGCAGGCGGTTGCTGCGCTGCAGCAACCCCCATTGGCTCGTTCCGTGTAGCATCACGTGCTCCAACAGAATTGCGTCCTCCTGCGCGCCGAGCCGAGGCGCGTTACGACGGGATAAGAGGAGACAAGATAGATAAGATGAGAAAAAATGAGACGGAATGTGATATGGGGTGTAGCGTTATGCGAATTTGAATGCATGGCTTCGGGAAAACGCAATGTGGGGTGCTGTAGTCGCAACGTGACGCGAGAGTCTCACAAGAAGCTTACCTCGGGCGTCCATCGCGCGATGTAGTGTCTGGCGGGCCGCGTTTTGACCCTTGACTTCATCGAGCACGCTTCGCTGGAAATCGCATCCATCCCGTAACAACGTTGGCGAAAATCGCTAGAATATATTTTTTATGCTCTTGTCGAACGCGAAAGAACTCGCGTCTCGTGCAGCTCTTGATGGCTTCGAGGCTCTATCTTGAAAGTCTGGAAGGAGATAAACTGAGCTCTGAGAGATAAACTGCTGTATCTTGATGCTCGAGCAATGATGAAACTGAGTAGCTCGCTGCTCTTGAAGGAACTTGTGTTTCGTAAGAGTGAACTGGATAATACACCTGCGAGGATTTATCGATATTTCTGGACGTGTCAAGGTCAGTCTGGTCCTTGGAGAAGATGAGGTAGGTTTCGTAAGCAGTGAGTGAGTGGTCGTGTTGTGGGTGCTCGTCTTGTTCCGCGCGTTGAATATTTCGAGCGGAGAAGGGTCTCACCTCGGGTTGGGGGAAGATACACTTTACACCCGCTAGATACTTACAGCTTTTCTCGTCATTTAGAGGTTTAGTGAGCAAAACATTTTTCGCCTGCTCGCCAGCGTTCGCCACGGGCAAAATCGAGAGAGTATTGGGCAGGTGTAACCAGCGTCTCAAAATATCTCTCGAACGGACGGATGCCAGCGTGATAAGGTGGATTTTCAACGGCTGCGATAAAAAAAGAGGCTTGTATCGTGCATGCAACTAGCTGGACCAAATGCAATTGGGCAGGCTGTCGAAATTGAAAAGACCAAATTTACGTGCATCAGCTGAGCATCCTGTGTAAATGGGGCAAATTCAGACGATGCGCGGAAAGTGGGGCACTCGGGGGAGGCCAGGTTAATGTAATTGGCGCGCTGTGCTGGTCCTTCGGGCTTGACGAATTTGGAGGAACTCGGATGGTGAAAGATCGGGAGAAGGGGGGGAATGGAAAGGACTGCAGTGCGTGCGGAACTGCGGAACGGGCGGAAAGTGCACAGCGACCTCGCGCTCGCGATTCGCTAGGATTGGTTGGCAACCTCACGGGAGGCGGGGGAGTTTTGACCGCGCTGGCTTCAGATTGGGCGGAGGGGACGCATTCGAGATGGAAGGACATGCACTCAAGGTGGGAAAGGGGGGTGTTTGTGTGTGTGGAGTGGAGGTGGGGCCAGGGGTTTTGTTTTCCCACCCATAACCAGAGATGCAGACCAGCAGGAAGCAGCTGTTCTGGGTGCGGACCAGAGTCCAGATTTTGCTGGTCCCCCCCCCCCATCTCATCTCAACCCACCCAGTTTCACTTCACCCATCCTATTTTCCAGCTCCCTCCCCCTTTTCCCCCCAACCCCCCCGCCGGGAAAACATGGTGATCGGAAAAGATTGGGAGGAAGGGGTGGGCCCACGCTCATATGGCGGAAAGAGAAAGTGCGCACAGTGCATCCTGGGTCATGGCGAAAAGCGGGAAACCGCGGGTGTCAGCGGACGGCATTTGGGCGGAAAGCTGGTATGCCGGCGTCAGAAAGACTACTTGATGAGTCATTGGCTGGAATGTCTGATGATGGGTCTGGTGCAGAGCATTTCTGCTCGTGCGAAATACGCATCTGACGGTGATGATGAGCTAAAAGCCAAGTACTTGAATATCTTCCAGAGATATCTCCTGAAGCTGCGCGAGACTGCAAGATTGCTGATTGGTCGATCCCTACGACCACTGTGTCCAATGGTGGCCCACCAAATGACCCTTCACAATTTTGGGGGGCCAAAAGTTTTACACTACAGTTAAAACCGGGGTGCACATTCAGCTGAATGTGCATCAAAGGTTATCCCTTGACTGAGTGGGTTACGAGGTGTGCTTTCAACCCCTTCAAGTCGAAATTCGTTTCCCCCCTCCCCCGCAATTTCGTTTCCCCACGCCCCCGCAATTTCATTTCCCCCTCCCCGTCGAAATTCGTTTCCCCCCTCCCCCGCAATTTTGTTTACCCCCTCCCCTGCAATTTCGTTTCCCCCCCCTCCCGCCAATCTGTTTCATCCCTCCCGCCATTCGGTTTCACCCACTCCCGCCATTTCACCCCCTCCCGCCACCTACGAAATGCCCGAAGCTCTAGCGGAATCATTTTTTTGTCGCCCCTCGTGAGCCAATCACTGTTTTTCTCCAAACCCCCTTCCCAACATCTCAAGCCGAACCGCGTTGAATGTGCACCCTGGTTTTAAGTTCACTGTGGAGACACTTTCCGACCGACCGAGCACTGCCACAATGCGCCTGTTTTGGAACATGCATGCATGCACAACAAACAAACAAACATTACTCTCGTCTGTTTGAAGCGTTCAAAAGACTAGGTCCAGTTTTGGCAGATGCAACAAACCTTCCCGTTGGGGGTGGTTGATCGGGAAGCAATCATTTCACCTGTGTTTACGCATGTGCAGTTCAAAGAATCTTGGTGACAAGTATCTCCGCTCCTATTAGAGGAATCCGCTGTAAAACAGGAGCTCTTTCATCCGCATCTTGTGTAAACTTGCCGCTAAGTCTATTATGAACCATACAACGTCTGTGTAAAAATATTATATGCACAGTAGGTTTCAGGCAAATAGATACACAACCTCCTCACTTGCTTGGGGGAACTATGATTGCAGGTTTATCCGTCCTCTATCAAGCAGCACTCAAGGTGAAGCTTATGCCCAACAAAAGAGCATCAACCATTTCTATTTCTCTGTGCTCTAATATCACAAACCCACTTCCTCCTCTCTTACCTTCCCCATTCACCCCTCCGCTTTCCATACAACGGCCCCGTTGTCTGATACCAGCTCAAATCAATCGCTACAATACTCGACTTGCAATAATCCCCCACATACCCACATTCGCCCACCATGTGCCCGGGGTTCTGTTGCACTCGCTGCCCACCCGCCCACTCAGCCTGGTAACAGCTCAATCAATCGTTACAAACTTTACACGACTTGCGGCAATTGCCGACATACCCTCCTCCTCCCACCCACCATATACCCGGGGTTTCGCTTACACTCGCCGCCCGCCGCCCCCACTGCCCATTAACTGCTCAAATCAATCGCTACAAACCTTACACGCCTTGCGACAATTCCCGACATACCCACCATCTCCCACCATGTACCCTGGGTTCCTCTTACACTCGCTGTCCGCCCGCCCACATGGCCTGCTAACAGCTCGATCAGTCGTTACAAACTTTACACGCCTTGCGACAATTCCCCACATACCCACCTTCTCCCACCATGTACCCTGGGTTCCTCTTGCACTCGCCGCCCGCCGCCCACATGGCGCAGTTGGGGTGTTCGTCTGTACAGTCCAAAAGGCTTCGCCGCGTCATGTACTTGAACATGTGCACCCACTTCTCCGCCGTCCACTTTGCTTCCAGCCTGCCGCCCGCACCGCCGCCCGCGGCGCCGCCCGTGCTGCCTCCTGCACCAGCACTGCCATCGCTCCCACTGCTGCCCCTCATTCCCCTAAAAAGCCCCCCCAAGCTCGTCCCCACAGTGGGTGTTGGGTGGGAGGGAGGGAGGAGAGGGCAGTCCTCCCGGTATGCCCTGGGGTCGTTGTAGCCGTTGGGGGAAAGGTGGAAGTAGAGCAGCGCATTGCCCTTGCGTGGCCTCACTGGGGGGAAGGGGAGGGAGGTTGGGGGAGGGAGGTGAAGGTTGGGGGAAGAAGGTTTAGGGACAAGTACAGAGAGGGCAGTCCTCCCGGTGTGCCCTGGGGTCGCTGTAGCCGTTGGGGAAGAGGTGCAAGTAGAGCAGCGCATTGCCCTTGCGCGGCCTCACTGGGGGGAAGGGTGGGGGGAAAAGAGGTTGGGGGAAAGAGAGGTTGGGGGAGAGAGAGGGTGGGGGACAGAACGATGGGTACCGCAGGGAATAAGAGTGCTTCTTCACAACCCAGCAATGGGGGCAAAGTCAAGGGAGGGCAACGGGGCATGGGCATGGGGGCATGGGCAAGGGGGCATGGGCAAGGGGAGCATGGGCAAGGGGAGCATGGGCAAGGGGAGCATGGGCAAGGGGGGCATGGGCAAGTCCGCTAAAAAAGGACTTCACATTCCATTCCACCACAAAGCCCAGGACAACTCAACCCCTCGCCCCCCTTCACCAGCAGTGCGGCCTCTATCCCAGGGGTGTGGGGGGGGGTTGAGGAGGAGGAGTGCAGAGCGGTGCAATGCACCTCACCAGCAATGCGGCCTTTAGCGCAGTCTGAGACGGGCCCAAAGTCCTGATCGCGCTCAGGCTGGCAGGGGGGAGGGGCGAATGAGGTGCACAGGGGGAGAGGTGCACAGGGGGAGAGGTGGAGGCGTACACGGGGGGGTGGAGAGAAGGAGCAGAGAGGGGTGCAGAGTGAGGAGCACAGAGGGGTGCAGAGTGAGGAGCACAGAGGGGTGCAGAGTGAGGAGCACAGAGGGGTGCAGAGTGAGGAGCACAGAGTGAGGAGCATGGTGGTAGAAGCATGAAGAGGTGGAGGAGAGGGCGGCAATGGGAGTTTCGAATCCAGAAATGCACTGCAGGGGTGGCGGAAAGAGAGCCGAGCAGCGCAAGGAGTGGGGGGGAAGATCGAAAAAGAGTGAACGGAAACCATGGGGGGAAGGCAGGGAATAGAAGATGGAGGAAGAAGGAGATGCGCCAATAGGATTGGGATCTGCTTTTGAGTCGACTCAAAAGTAGGATTGGGATCAAGAATGGATTGGGATCAAGAATGGATTGGGATCAAGAATGGATTGGGATCAAGAATGGATTGGGATCAAGAATGGATTGGGATCAAGAATGGATTGGGATCAAGAATGGATTGGGATCAAGAATGGATTGGGATCAAGAATGGATTGGGATCAAGAATGGATTGGGATCAAGAATGGATTGGGATCAAGAATGGATTGGGATCAAGAATGGATTGGGATCAAGAATGGATTGGGATCAAGAATGGATTGGGATCAAGAATGGATTGGGATCAAGAATGGATTGGGATCAAGAATGGATTGGGATCAAGAATGGATTGGGATCAAGAATGGATTGGGATCAAGAATGGATTGGGATCAAGAATGGATTGGGATCAAGAATGGATTGGGATCAAGAATGGATTGGGATCAAGAATGGATTGGGATCAAGAATGGATTGGGATCAAGAATGGATTGGGATCAAGAATGGATTGGGATCAAGAATGGATTGGGATCAAGAATGGATTGGGATCAAGAATGGATTGGGATCAAGAATGGATTGGGATCAAGAATGGATTGGAATCACCTCTTTTCGAGGCGCCTAAAAAGAGAGGGATGGGCTGGCTGGAGGCATGGCGGGTGTGTGCGCATGTAGTGCCGAGGCAAGGCAACTAACCTTGCCTTTGGGGAAAGTGACTTCGCCGCCCCGCTCCACGTCCGAGAGGAAGAGGACGAGCGTTGCCGCCCGGTGCAGCACCTGGTGGTCCTCCTTGTGCTGGAAGTAGTCATAATGCACGTCGAACTGCTGGCCTGTATTGTAGCGCATCAGCTGTGGCTCTGTGGGCTCTGAGAGGGGAGGTGGGGCGAGTGCAATAAGTGGGGAGGGATGAGAAGAGCAGTGACCGGCGGCCCTCCTTGTGCTGGAAGTAGTCATAATGCACGTCGAACTGCTGGCCTGTATTGTAGCGCATCAGCTGGGGCTCCGTAGGCTCTGGGGTTGTAGGAGTGGGGGGTAGGAAGTGTTGCCAATGATGAGTTGATGCAGCACCTGCCAGCCCTGCCGGTCCTCCTTGTGCTGGAAGTAGTCGGAATGCACGTCGAAGTGCTGGCCCCTATTGTAGCGCATTAAGTGGGCCCGTGGGCTCTGAGAGGGGAGGTGGGGCGAGTGGACGCAGTGGGTGATGTCAAGAGCGAGCAGTGACTGCCTCTCCTCCGGTTTTCCTCGTGTTGGAAGTAGTCGGAATGCACGTCGAATTGCTGGCCCGTGTGATAGCGCAATAGCTGGGGCTCCGTCCGTGGGTTCTGAGGGGGGATGTGGGGGGATGTGGGGGAATGTGGCGGGAGGAGAGTGGGGGGATGTGGGGGGATGTGGCGGGAGGAGAGTGGGGGGATGTGGGGGGATGTGGGGGGGTGTGGGGGGAGGAGATTGGGGGGATGTGGGGGGAGGGGAGTACCTATAATGGGGGATGGGGAGAAGGTGAAGGTCTGGCATGTAGGAAAGGCAACATTGGAACAGGTAAAGAATGGAGCACTTCTCTTAGCTTACTGCGCGGGAGGAAGAGCCACGATGAAATGCGGTCTTCAATAGCCCTCACCCGCTCGTCCTGGTGAGTGTGTCATGGGCATATGGGCATGGGGTGAGGGTGACCATGGAGTGTGGCCAATGTAAACGTGGGTGTTTGGTCTAGTGGCATGATTCTCGCTTAGGGTGCGAGAGGTCCCGAGTTCAATTCTCGGAACACCCCAGTTTTTGTGTCTCGCATGAAAACGGACTTATAAACTATTCTACATACACTGCACACATTCACACAGACTAGCACTGTTTTACAGCATCACACCCCTCGCTGGGCATGGGCATGGGCATGGGCATGGGCATGGCATGGCATGGCATGGCATGGGCTGGGCATGGGAATGGGCATGGGCATGGGCATTGCTGTTGTCGAATTCACTCGGTGGATGTGCTTACTCTCAGTTACAAACAGGGGAATGGGGTTATTGAGAAATTCCGGGGTTTGAGTCGAAGCAGAAGATTCCTTGGTGACTACTTCTGAGATGCCTCAAAAGTAGATATCCTACATCTCTCAACAACCACCTGTACCCTTTAACCTAACTTGTTCACCTCCCTGGAGCAGTGTAACTTTTTCTTTCGTTTAATAAAAAACAAAAAAACAGAATATCACCCATATAATATCCCACAACCACGCATTCCCTCCTTTCGCCTCGCACACCACGTTACACCACACCTCACCGCACCGCACAGCGCCGCACAGCTCACATAATATTTCTGGAGGAAGGTGCCATTGGCTTGTGTGCCTGGGAAGAGCAGTTTGAGTGGTTTTTTTTACCGATTAAGGTACCACCGCACCACACATCACCACACCGCAGCGCACCGGGCCACACCACACAGCTCACCTGATATTTCCGGAGAAAGGTGCCGTTGGCTAGCATGCCTGGGCGGAGCAGCTTCTGCTGGGACTGAGGGCAGCAGGGAGAGACGCGGGAGGGGGAGGGAGGTAGCATGCAGGGAGGATTTCTTTGTGTCAGAAAATATGTTTCTTGGTGACTTGGGCGTTGGCTAGCATGCCTGGGCGGAGCAGCTTCTGCTGGGACTGTGGGCAGCGGGGAGACACGCGAGAGGGGGGGGACGTGGGGGGGGAGTGGGGGGGGGAGGGGGAGGGAAGCAGCATGCAGGGAGGATTTCTTTTGGCCGTCAGAAGATATGTGCCGTTGGCTGGCATGCCTGGCCTGAGCAGCCTGGGGTGGGACTGTGGGCGGCCGGGAGGGACGAGGGAGGGACGCGGGGGGGGGGAGGGGAGGGGGAGGGAAGCAGCGTGCAGCGTCAGAAAATATGTAGTGTTGCTGGGCTGAGCAGCTTGGGGTGGGACTGGGAGAGGTGGGGAGCAATGGAGGAGCGACGGAGGAGCGACAAATTAGTGATGGAAGCGGGACGGAGGAGGAAGCAGCGTGCAGGAGAGAGACAGGCAAAACGAGCATTGCGCATGCGAAAGGTGGGGTGGCTTGCGTGGCTGGGCGGATCAGCTTCGGGTGCGACTGGGGCCAGCGGGGAGAGGTGGGGAGGGGAAGGCAGCGTGCAGGAAGGAACTGTATGGAGGAGGGAGAGGCGCATGGAAGGGGGAGATAGCGTGCTGTGCGTGGACGCATGGGTGCATGGGATGGGTGAACGGGAGCATGGGAGCATGGGAGCATCGGAGCATGTGTGCATGGGTGCATGGGATGGGTGAACGGGAGCATGGGAGCATGGGAGCATCGGAGCATGTGTGCATGGGTGCATGGGTGCATGGGTGCATGGGTGCATGGGTGCATGGGTGCATGGGTGCATGGGTGCATGGGAGCATGGGTGCATGGGTGCATGGGTGCATGGGAGCATGGGAGAATGGGAGCACGGGAGCATGGGTGCATGGGAGCATGGGTGCATGGGTGCATGGGTGCATGGGTGCATGGGTGCATGGGAGCATAGGTGCATGGGTGCATGGGTGCATGGGTGCATGGGTGCATGGGTGCATGGGTGCATGGGAGCATGGGTGCATGGGTGCATGGGTGCATGGGTGCATGGGTGCATGGGAGCATGGGTGCATGGGAGCATGGGTGCATGGGAGCATGGGTGCATGGGAGCATGGGAGCATGGGTGCATGGGTGCATGGGTGCATGGAGGCATGGGTGCATGGGTGAATCAGTACCACATGGGCAAATTTAGTCTTGTGCGGATGTGAGAGGGAGAAGAGGGGGGGACGAAAGGGGAGACGTAACGGAGGGCGAGAGGGGAGGCAGGGAGGCGATACCAGTGCAACAAGGTGATCACACTCCGCATGGGAGAAACAGAGAGGGAGTGTGTGTGAGAAAGAGAAAGAGGGGGGGACGAAAGAGGAGGGAGGGAGGCCATACCAGTGCAACGAGGTGATCACACTCCGCATGGGAGAGGAATCCGTGGTAAACGAACGCCCTGTCAAGGGTGGGGGAGGGCGGAGGGAGGGAGGATTAGGGAGGGAAGAAGGTGATTCAAGAGCCTACTCAATAATCACCTACCCAGTGCAATGAGGAATCGCACTCCGCATGGGAGAGGAATCCTCTCCCATGCGCCGTCTACCATCCTCCGCATGGTACACGAACGCTCTGCCGGGGGTAGGGGCAGGAAGGGAAGAAGGGGAAGCTGTGGGAAGGGGGGACGGGCGAGGGAAAAAAGGAGCGAAATCTCAGATGCGATTTCACTTGGGAGGCGGTGAGAACGGACCTTCCCAGGCCTACCGAGGTTGCGTGGAGGTCTGCACGACCCTGGCAGGGTCAACCTGCCGCCCCAACACTGCTGCTTTATAGAAGTCGAGTTTTGAGTCGACTTAAAACTCGACTCATTACACGCGAACCTGGCAGGGTCAGCCTGCCACCCCAACACTGCTGCTTGATAGAACGCTAACGAGACTCTCAGCCGTTTGTGCGCCACGTGTACGGTATCCTTATCCGTATACGCAACCTACCGGGGCTGGATGGAGATCTGCACGACGCGGGAAGCGTCCACCTGCCACCCCTCGGACGCTGCTGCTTCATCCAACGCTGCCGAGCCTCTCAGGCGCTTGTGCGCCACGTGTACCCGCTCGTATCTGTGTCCGTATACGGCGCTCGACGCGGTTAGGAGCCAAAGGGAGATGCATTGCAGCAGGAGACTTGCGTTGACTGCGTTGGCTGCGACATGCCTGAATCGGACCGATTGACGGCTTTGGAACATGCGAATCCGGCTGGCCATAGCGAAAACGAATTAGAATGATCCGGTTGGTTAATTAATCTGCTTGGATCATGGTTCTGATAATGTCACCATCAGTGGTGATCAGCGAGAGCATAGTGCGACAGGCTGTCGGTCATCGAACTGAAGATTCATAATTACAACATGACCAGCGTACGCGACTCGAACACGAATTGGCGCACGGAGCCTATATAACCACGCGAAAACAGTAGATTTCTCCCCCCTTCACGTCTTATATTATGAAGTCAGCAGCTTTGAAGTCCCGCAATTCCCGGGCTTCCAGCGGTCAAATCTGTCAGTAACCTGTCTGTCAACAGCAGTCAAATTTGCGCTTCACCGCATAGAACAGTGATAAAGAGGATTAGACCGCAAAGAACGCACATGAATTGAAACGTAGGAGTTGGAAACCCGCATCCCGCAAGGTAATATTTCACATAGATGACAGAACGGCTGGCACACTGTGCATGACGTGCTTGAACAAGCCATCATTGTATCTTCGTTATGGTAATAACGAGTATGGTGTGCCGTCACTGTAGCTGCTCCCCAAATTCCCACGCACCAATCTACAGTGGACGAAGATGGAAAGGACAAGTGAAGGACGTCATCTGAGTTTCCAGGGCATGAGCTTCGGTTACGCTTTGAACCCTGACAAAGCTTTCGTAAGAGTTCCTTCTTTCCCAGAAAGCGAGACACAGCAAATTTTGTCTTATACCGAACTTTCCGTAACGAAAACGTTCGTAAACTGTCACATCGGAATTGGTTCTTCCGACGATTCCAGTCTTACCGAAATATAGTTCCGGCACATAGACCTTTCATGCAGAAAGGAAAGACGGTATCACGCCATAGCAATTTGCCCTGTGAAGGCCACGGCCACAGTAGGTCAGTTTGGCCTCTGTGAAGCTTACCGTCCTAGAACCATACGCTCCGCCCTCAACCGAACACAATCTCACCAAACCTTCTCAGGTTGCTCTTGTGGAGAGGTATATTCCCAGGAACACACTTGTTCGATGAACGAAGTGGAACAGGAGCGAAGAAGAGGTTCAGTGGTGGTGGTGAGTTGCTCCCATCCCATCATCTCCTCCACAACAGCTGCGTGTGGAGTAGAAGCTAGAACTGCTTCGCGGTTACAGTGCTACTTCGAGGAGCTTCGAAGCGTGCAAAGCCAAATAGCTCTGCTGTGTAAGCGAGGTGACAGCGTACAAATTGACTTTGGACGTGCACTATCGCTCTGCACAAGAATTACCAGGTAGACCTGGACTGGCTAGCCTGCTGGCACGCACTGACTGACTGGCTGATCCGGGGAGGTCGAGTCGGGACAAATTCCTACAGCGCGCTGAACGATATATTACGTTTCGATCCCGCGCTTTTCGAGAACGTGTGACCGATCACCCTTTTTTATAATCCTACAATATTTTTTTTAGAGCGTCACCCTGCTTAATCAGTCAGCTCGACACGTTTAATTTACCCCGCGCAACGCGACGCGACGACCACGAATCCTGTTCGGAACACACGCGCGGCCACGTCAGCATGTCGAACTCCGCGCGATCGACGGCGCGGCTGGAGAAGCGGATGACGGACGCGCTAGCGGCGAGACACAAGACGGTGAAGAAGGTTCCGAAGAACTTCGACGCGTTCGTGCTCAAGTTCCCGCGGATCAACGCGGGGCTGGAGCTGCTCCGAGAAGTGTACGACAAAATCGGTAAGCGCATCAGGCGCGTTGGGCGAATTAAAGCGTCAGGAGCATCACGAGCAGCAGGCGCATCAGGCGCGTGAGGCTTGAAGCTTTCCGCTTTTGAGGCGCCCGTTAAAATTCTCGTCTTTGAAAATACCTGAAGACTAGCTTCGCATGGCGTCGCGTGGTTTCACACATGTTCCGCTGAATCAGCATGTTCCGATGCGAGTCTAGGAATGTAGAGAACAATGCGGGTGAGGTTCATTCAGAAGTCCAGCGTGCGCGCAAATGGACGCTTGGGCGATGCGCTAAGGTTGTACATTATTTTATTTGTAATCAATATATTGCAACCACGCAGTTTAACAGCCCTTGTGCACTCGCGTTCCCGCGATTTCCAGGAAGGAGTCCTCCCTTGTCGCCTCTTTGTTCTATCTGTTCGCTTATTCTCCTTCCGCCTCCTTTCCTAAACTTCTGTCACCTTCCGCATCTGCCTAATCTTCCTCATCCCCGTCATCCCCGTTCTCTCCGTCGTCTTGGACTCACCGCCGTGCATGGCATGCACGTGTTGTGCAGTGCCCGAGGGCAAAGAAGGCATGACGTTGGACGAGCTGAAGACCGCGCTCGCGCAGCTGGAGGTGCGTTCAGTTCGGTCAGAAGTGACAGAAAGTGGCACATCCGTCAGGATTGTCAGAAACTGTCAAGAGTGGATGTACATTGTAATTGGACCCAGGGAAGCCTGCATTTTAATTGCCTTCCACCTTCATTTCAGCTTCTTCTGTGTGAAGCCTTTTGGCCACCTTCAGCCTGACCGGAGTGTGGATTCGTGCTTGCAGAAATTGATGGTGGTGCGTGAATTGTGTGTGAGGTATGTGAGAGGTGGTGTGTAAGATGGTGTATTAACCTTGCGTCCATTATTTCCCTTACATATCAAGAACGACTGGTGACACCATGGCATGGCAGTGATCGAAAGAGTGTATGCAGTGACAGTGGCATGCCGCATACATACCTACATTTCTGATGCGTTTTCGTTTCACACTTCCATCAATCTCTGGTCACTCACGGCCAATCACAGGTGACAGTGAGCGAAGAGGAGCTGAAAGCCATGTTCGAGCAGACGGAGTTGGCCACTTCGTATGGTGAAGAGTCAGAGTAAGTGCCGACTCAGTTTTCTTATTCAAACTGACAAGATTCGATCTGGTTCCACTGCTATTCGCAGGTGACAGTGAGCGAAGAGGAGCTGAAGGCCATATTCGAGCAGACGGAGTTGGACACTTCGTATGGGGAAGGGTCGGACTCTGTTCCAGCAGAGGAGGCAACAGTGGTGTGCTTCAATGCGTTCGTGCTGTGCCTGGGCATTGTGTTCTTGCTCGAGTCGGCTGATAGCGATCAGGTGTGTGTGTTTGTGTGCGTATGTGTGTGTGAGAAAGTGAGTGAGGTGCACGTGTGGGTGCACGTGTGCACGCGTCAGTGTATGTGTGCATGTGTGTGTGCATGTGTGTGTGCATGTGTGCATGTGTGGGTTTGTGGGTGTATGTGTGCATGTGTGGGTCTGTGGGTGTATGTGTGCATGTGTGGGTCTGTGGGTGTATGTGTGCATGTGTGGGTCTGTGGGTGTATGTGTGCATGTGTGGCATGCATCCAGAGGCTTAGCATGGTCTTCAAGCAACTGGTTGGGCTGGGGTCATTGCCATGGGTATGGTTAAAACTCTAAGGTACTTGTATGGCTTGTTCTGTACACTCCATAGCCCGTTCCATCTTTCGTCCAAACATCTCCACCCCCTATCAATATACCTGCTTGTCCTGCTTCTCTTATGCCATGTACGAGCTCCCACTCTCTTCCATCTCCTACTGCTCCGCAACAGGCCTTTTTCTGCCTGACGCAACCTCTATTCTGGACTATTGTACCTGACATTGTCTCCTACCTTCCCTCTCCCCTCTCCAACCTCTTTTCCTTATAGCAGAAGCCACGCCTTGGCACAGGAGACATTAACGCTGCCTTTCAAATAATCGTAGATGCGTTCATTTATTTTGACGAGGACCATGACGGGCAGCTCACGCGGGCAGAGATTGAAAAGGGTTTTAGCAGCCACAACACTCTCAAGGAGGGCACGCTTCTTCGGAACATCTCCATGCGCATGCGTACGTTCTTGCTCAAACCTTGCGTCCCAGTATCCTGCTCTGTACTCCACCATACAGCAGCAACTAATGAATGTGCTTTTGTTTTCCTTTTTTACTTTCCACTTCTTTTTCAGAGGAAATGGACCGGGATTCCAACGGTGTGTGCACATTTGTAGAGTTCCTGAACGCATTTGTTGGTTGGGTGAGGTCTCAGTATGGGGACGCAGATTCGGATGCTGCTGCTGATGGAGATGCTTAACCATGTGCTCAGCAATATACTTCACTGTTTATTTATAATAAAGCAATAATGGTAGGCGCACTGTAGGATGGGGTGTATAAGATAGGTATCATATTGGATGGAGCATAGCAGAGTTAGAATATAGAATTTTGAAGTGATTTATGGAGCTGATAAATTTTCACACGTACCAGTAGAAACTACTCAAAGAATAGGGTGTACGAAATAGTCTAGATCAAACAGGGTCCGTCCGATCGCGCTGTGCGGTTTCACCTCTGTGGGGGCTTTTCCTCTTCCGGGCCCCATCCCAGCTCCGCGCCCTGCCCCCTTCCCCATGGGCCATCCCTCCCCGCCCCGCACAACCTCCCCGCGCCATCCCCCACCTTCCTCCCCCTGCTTCCCGTCTTTCTCCTGCCTCTCGCTGCTAATCCCGCCCAAACCCTAATTCATATTTCCTCCTCGCCGCTCTATTTCTCTCTTTCCTGCTCTTCCTTTCCTCGTCCCTCAGGAGCCGCATTTGCGCCGCGCCTGCCTCTCCCTGCCTTGCTTAGACAAGGAGCCATTTAGTCAAGATGGTCAGAATTAGCGTTCTTAACGATGCGCTCAAGAGCATGTACAACGCGGAGAAGCGCGGGAAGCGGCAGGTGCTGATCCGCCCCAGCTCCAAGGTCATCATCAAGTTCCTCACTGTCATGCAGCGACACGGTGCGTGCGTGCTTGTGCGTGCTTGTGCGTGCGTCCCTGCGTGCTGCTCGTGCTTGCATATTCCTTCTGTAAAATTCGTCATGCAGCAACACGGTGTGTGCGCGCTCGCTCGTTTTTTTCTGCGATACCCTTGTCGAGGTGCGGCGATTTTCATCTCCCGCTTCTCACGGTCTATTTTCCTTCATCAAGCCTTCAAACCTAACGTTCCTACAGCGACCTGCTGCGCAGTATCGATGTTTGTTTGAGCAAGACGTTTCCATCCGGCGAGGAGCGAGGCCTTGTAGGCATTCTTTGGAGGCGTCTCGAAAGGCCTTGTAGGCAGTCAGTCGTCCCTCGTCCCCAGTGTTCGTGACCATCTCCGCACGGCATTATGCCGGCTAGCATGCGATGTTCAGAGGAGAGACGAGTCTTCAACAAAATAGTCGGACCTAAGGCAGAGAATCAGATTTCTCATCTTTATTAGCAAAGTAGTAACGCTCTTCGTCTGGACTGGAAGCGGTTCTTCGTACAAACCAGAGGGGGGCGTTATTCCGAGTCGATCTTTGAGGCGCCTAAGACTTTGTTGCCCGTTGTACCAAGCCGATCAAGGACAGCCGATCAGAGCCGTTGATCTTCCATCCAGCAGCGAGGACACAATTTCGTTAGTCCCCCTCGAATTTGCTGCTCGTTAGGCTCTAAGGGTCTTATTCTAGGGATTGGCCCGTTAGGGTAGGCTTGATCACGCCAGGCTTAGACAGCATTTGTAGGTCCCGTAGCTCATGACGCGCAAATATCGCCGTGCGAGATGCCTCGATCATGTCGGTATCTTCAAAGCTTCGCACTCTCTGTTCCTAAACCTCGTCACTTTCTTTGACAGGACCAAGTCTGTCGTTTTGGAATCAGCCTTGGTTGAATCCTTCGTTACTTAGGCAAGGAGATGGGGAGCTGGGTGTGCTGAAGCCTATGATTCTCAGCCACTCTCGTGCGTGTGTTTGCAGAGTTACCAGACATGATGTTTCGTTACCTCCCCTGTGCGTCTTGTCCCCTTGCCCCTGAATGCTGGTTACCAGGTTACATCGGCGAGTTCGAGCTGGTGGACGACAGGCGGGCGGGCAAGATTGTCGTGGAGCTGAACGGACGGCTGAACAAGTGCGGCGTGATCAGCCCGCGTTACGATATCGCTGTCGGCGATATTGAGAACTGGACCGAGCGCCTGCTGCCCTCCCGTCAGGTGGGTATTGCAACTTGAGTGGGGTAGTGTAACGACTGTACGGTTGTGTATGCGTTGATAATGGAGCGCATGCAACAAGTGTTGAGTAGTATAAGCAGTTTGTGGGGGAAGGAGGCGAGTGGAGGGAGATGGAAGAGGAGGGGGGAAAGAAGGGGGGAGAAGGGGGGGGGGCGGGTGGGGAGAATAAGTGCGTGTAGCCCTCGTCCGAGGAGTGGGAGGATTAGCGTCTAAGAGGAGTTTTTCACTTGGAGGGTTAGTGTGCCTAGTGTGAGCAGCAAGTCAAGCGTTTCCCATGCTGTTGAGGTGAGAAGGTTGGAAATGGAAAATAAAATGCTGTCTGGCAGTGAAATGCAGGGTGGGAGGGGTAACAGATGGAAAGGGTCTTTATGGGTGATTCCGCATTGTTTGGCGCTGGAACACGTTGGGAGCCTCACTGTGGGTGTCACAGGTTCGTGGTTGCTTGTCTGTGCCTGATGTTCTTCCGCGTTCCATTGGGTTGTGTTTTTTGTGCCCTTGCTGACCTCTTTATGCCCCTGTTGTTGTGTTCCTTCCCGTGTTACCAGTTTGGTTACATTGTGCTCACCACGTCTAGCGGCATCATGGACCACGATGAGGCCAGGCGGAAGAACGTGGGAGGCAAGGTGCTCGGCTTCTTCTACTAAGCTGAAAATGGCTCTTCTGATAATGCGATGCTGTCAGTCCATGATGCCGAAGCAGGGTGACTGGTATCATTTAGCCAGCCTAGCCAACAGCCCTGCCCTGCCTTGTCACCAATATCACCCAGTTGGCTCTGCCTAGCTTTTTGTTTGCCATGCATGGTCCCTTATATTCCAAGTGGACGTGTAAAGCTCACATCGAAGCATAATCTCCATGGCTTCAGAACTTGTGATGCTTGGCTGGTGTAGAAAATGTCTGGCCAACCTGCCTGTAGTGAGAATTGCCTGTAGTGAGAAAGATCTCGGTTTCGGGACCTTTATCTTTCACGTCAGCATCCCGAATAATCGAAGCTCCCAAGGTGTCGGGTCGGGTGCTTTCGGTGGTGTACTTTTCGCGCGCCCGGATTGCTCAACCATTGGCTGTCGTTGTCACCCTACGGAATCTTGATTTGCTTTCGTCAGTGACGGTGTGACGGGATTGGTCTCCACTTTCACGAATAACGGTTGTGCCTGGTCTGTTGCGTTCCAAAGCGGTAATAGGCATCACTTGGTGCACTTCACTTGAGGCTTTAGCGTGGGCCCAAGTTTCTGTTGCACCTCTTGGGAATGAGTAAATAACAATGAGAGGGCTGAATCTGAGTCTAAGAGGAGAGTAGATTGACGGGATAAAGGTCGAATCCGACGCGCTAACAGAAGCCATCTGACAATTGACGCGTCGCGATTAGGGCTGAAACTAGATTCGCCATTCGTGTCAAAGTCGCGACCAAAATTGTCACCTGACGTCGACCCGTGTCGCGACGTGCTCACAGAAGCCATCTGAGTATCGCAGGCGTTACTAGTTCGATTTTCAGGCTACGATGGAAGGGGCCGGAAGTGACGGGAGGGGGAAACGGGGCGCGAAAAAGAAAGGCGGGGTGGAGGAAGTGAAGAAGGAGCTAAAGGGAGTGATGAAGGCTGTGATTCGCGAAGGATCGGGATTGCCGGTGGAGGACGGTCATCAGGTAACATGAGATAGTGATACGCAAATTTTAGTAATGGCAGTGAGAGGAGCTTACAGGGGGGTTGCGTCAGATAAGGTGAGGACGCAGCTGGCGGGAGTGATGAAGCCAGTGATTCCAATTCAGGAGCCTAATTTGGTTCGCGCGTGGTGATGGCAGAATTCGTAAACTACGTTGAGACGTCTCAGAACCAACTTGTTATCACGTGGCTATATTTAGGGTGTGATGAAGGCGGTAATTTGCAAAGGATCGGGACTACTGTGAAAAGAGGCACCATCAATTACCAATCCTTCTCCCATCATTCCGTTGTCCACTGCACCACTCACCGTGCTCACCGTGCTTTCCCTCCCCACCCATCTTGTTCCGACCATCACCCCCCCCCCCCCCCCCCCCCCCTCTCACCATCCTCTCTTCCCCAACACCACCCGCTGTGTCCTGGTCAGCTATTTTGACGTACTTTCGTGTGTCACCAATATTTTAGTGATTCTCCTCCTCTCTCGTCCCCTCCTCCACCCCCTTTCCCCTCTTCGACCCCCACCCCTTGTGCCCCCACCGCCCGCCAGGCGGTTTTCCACTGCACCACTCGTGCAGCTTATGCTTCTGCCCTCCCGTTCTCCCCCCCACACCACCACCACCCTCCCGTCCTGATCATTAATTCTTCAACCCTCACCCTTCGCCGTGCCCCCACCGCCCTCCAGGTGGTTTTCCACTGCACCACTCGTGCAGCTTCGGGCCACATATGTGATTCCACCCGAGTTGAACACGGAGGTACGGCGTGAGGTGTGAGGTATGGCATGGGGTGTTCGGTATGGCAGGGGTATGACATATGGCTTGGGGTTTGGGGATGGCACGATATGGCATGGTATGAGCTATGTCATGGGGTGTGAGGTATGGCATGCAGTGGGTGGGAGGTATGGCATACAGTGAGAGGTATGGCATGAGGTGTGAATAGTGATTACCTACGAGTACCTACGCCCGTTATGCCGGGTAATACCATTTTTGCCCATTCATCGCCCACCTTCACCTCATCGCTCCCGTGAATGCTTGTGTGAGCAGGGTCGGGGCGGCCGCGGCGAGTGGTGGTGGGGGAGAGCCGGCTGGTGGCAGCATTGGAGCACGGGCTGTGCACCATGCGGGAGGGCGAGGTGGCACTGGTGAGATTCCTGACTGCATATTCTTGAGTTGACTTTCCATTCCCTTCAATGTCGAGCTGGTGGCAATGTGTAGAGAGGGGGTTTTTGCGACGTCTCAAAAGCAAACACCCTCTCTACACGTGCTATTCTTGAGTTGACTTTCCATTCCCGTCAATGTCGAGCTGGTGGCAACTCGAATGTATGTACCTGGCGGCAGCATTGGAGCACGGGCTGTGTACCATGCGCGAGGGCGAGGTGGCCGTGGTGAGACTCCTGAATCCCGTGATCTTGAGGCGCTTCAAAAGACAAATCTTGAACTCCATTCGCGAGTGTGTTGAGCTGGTGACAGCGCGGAAGCACGGGGTGTGCAGGCGAGTTGGTGGTTGCGGAAGTTATGAATTCACTCATACCGAACTCCTAGCTCATGCTATGGAATCTCCGCAAGTTGATTTTTAAGACGTCTCTAAAGTCAACTTCTTTCACAGGAGGGGAAGGAGGTGGCAGTAGTGAGAGCTTTTGAATTCACTCAATCCGAACTCCTTGCACATGCTACCGAACTCCTTGCACATGCTACCGAACTCCTTGCACATGCTACCGAACTCCTTGCACATGCTACCGAACTCCTTGCACATGCTATGGAATCTCCGCTCTTGCCCCCAAATGATGCCGTCAGCTCTCTTATTTCCTTCACTTACTGCTCTCTCTCTTCCTTTCACCCAATTCTCCCCCCCACCCCTGCTTCCCCGGGTTTCCTATTCTGCAGTTCAAAGCAGAGCCCTCAGCCCACTACAGCGACCCTGCCTGCCAGATAAAGCCTCCCCCAGGCGTGCCTGCGGATGAGGAGCTGCAGCTGGAGGTGGAGGTGGTATCTGCTGCTGCTGTGTGGGTGCTGGCGGGGAAGCGAGAGAAGAAGGAGGGTGGTGCAGAGGGAGAAGGGGAGGAGGGAAAGGAGGCGGAAGAGGAGGATGTTGTGTGTGGGTATGAGGAAGACGAACGGTTTATCACGAAACAGGTGGGTGTGTTTGAGACGTCTCAGAACAAGTTTATCATTGCATGGAGAACGGAGGGAGTCTAGTTTTGAGGCGCCTCAAATCGAAACAGGTGGGTGGCGGTCAGAGGGAAAGAGCCTCATGGCGAAGGAGAATGAGGCTCGTGGAAAGGCCACAATTCAAAAACAAGGTGGTGAGTAATGCGGTTTCTGGTTCAGAGGGAGGGTAGTGACCAAATGGAACTCAGACCTGACAGGAAGCCTGCATGACAGGCATGAAGCATGAGAGGCAGTGCCTCACCGATGCTGTGTGTTGAGGGAATGAAAGGCTTGCCCCTCCCGTTGCTGCTTCTTGTTGACAGGCATTCCCCTCACCACCGATGGCATCATGTGATTGTGCAGCTTTGATTCGAGCCGCTCCGCTGTGAGTCATCATTGCACCATTCAATGACGCACATTCCACCCTGTGTTCCGTGATTGCATTGCGTGTGCCCCCTGCGGATTGTGATTGTATCAGACGGTTGAAGAGGGGAGAGGGTGGGAGCAGCCGAGGCCGCCGTATGAAGTCAAGATCAGGTAGGTACCGCCTTGCCTTGCCTCGCCTTGCCCTGCCCATTCAAGGCACATTCGTTGTGCATGTGCATGTGCAAGCGCATGTACATACGTGCATGCACGCTCACATATCTCCATGCCCATCTGCCCCATCTCCCCCATCTCCCCCATCTCCCCCATCTGCCCCATCTCCCCCATCTCCCCCATCTCCCCCATCTCCCCCATCTCCCCCATCTGCCCCATCTGCCCCCTCCCCCCTGCCTGCCAGGCTGGAGGCTTGCCCTCTGGGCTCGTCAACGCCCTTCTATGCGCCTGGCACCGGCTCCTCCCCTCCCCTGCACCTCGCTCTGGGCTCAGCGCGGGTGAGTCACGAGACAGGAGAGGGTATAGGGATAGAAGAGTGGGGAGAGAGGAGGGTGGAGGGAGGTTGAAGGCACAGGCTCCTTCCCTCCCCTTGTTTGCCCCAGCTCCCCCCAGAATTCGATCTAGCTCTCTCTCACATGGTTGCAGGGGAAAAGGCGGTCGTCTTGGTCTCCTCCCTCCACACCCGTCCCTCATTTGCTCCATCCATCCATTTCCTCGAATGGTCCATTTCCCTCTCTCTCTCTGTTCTTTTCATCCTCCCCTCCCCTTATTCCCCTTTCCCCAGCTCCCCCCAGCACTGGACCTCGCTCTCTCCCACATGCGCACAGGGGAAAAGGTGGTCGTATGTCGTATGCCTCCCTCCCCCCCGACACATATGCCTTGCCCCACCCACTCATCTTTCCCCCTGCCTTTCCTTGGCCCTCCCCTCCCCTTGTTCCCCGTGTTTCCCCAGCTGCCCCCAGCACTCGATCTCGCTCTCTCGCACATACTCGCAGGGGAGAAGGCCGTCGTCTTTGCCTCCTCCCCCCACATCCCCCATGTGCCTCGTACGCTTGTTCACCTCTCTGCTTTTCCTTCATCCTCCCCTCCCCTTGTTCCCACAGCTCCCGCCAGCTCTCGATCTCGCTCTCTCGCACATGCTCACAGGGGAGAAGGCCGTCGTCTTTGCCTCCGCCCCCCACACCATGTGCCTCGTACAGCCCATCCGCCCCGTCCGCTCATCCTCCCCCCTGCTTTTCCTCCATCCTCCCCTCCTCTTGTTCCCCCAGCTCCCGCCAGCGCTCGATCTCGCTCTCTCGCACATGCTCACAGGGGAGAAGGCCGTCGTCTTTGCCTCCTCCCCCCACACCATCCCCCCTGCGCCTGACACCCCTCTCCCTCCACCTCCTCCTGCCATTGCCCCTGCTCCGGGAACTGCCGAGCCTGACGCTAGGAGTGCCGAGGCTGAGGCTGGGAGTGTCGAGGCTGGGAGGCTCGGGCTGGCTGCTCCGGTGGTTGTGGTGCCGGCGCCACCAGAGGGGGTGGTGGATGTGGAATATCATGTGCAGCTGGTGAAGATCGTGCAGGTGGGAGGGGGGGAGTGTGACGATAGGAAAGGTGGGGGGGGTGTGGTGGTTGAGTTGAGTCAAAGGACGGAGCCACCAAAGGGGGTGGTGGACATGGCTTATCATGTGCAGCTGGTGAAGATCGTGCAGGTGCGGATATGAGTGCACTTGAACTTCACCTGCGCCAGAGGGGGTGGCGGATGTGGAGTATCATGTGCAGCCGGTGAAGATGGTGCAGGTGGGGGTGTCTTGCGCGGTATGTCACCTATGTTGGAGTTGCTGTTGAAATATATCCAACATGCACGGTCTCCCCGTGTATGGTTTTCTGCACGTGATGTGCCGCGCCCTACCATGTCATTTTGAGCTGAACAGTATGGAGCTTTTTCATGTGTGTGTGCATGTGTCCACGCATGCTTGTGTGCATGTGTGCTTGTTTGCATGTCTGCATCTGTGCTTGTTTGCATGCTTGTTTGCATGTGTGCATGTGTGCTTGTGTGCATGTGTGCATGTGTGCATGTGTGCATGTGTGCATGTGTGCATGTGTGCATGTGTGCATGTGTGCATGTGTGCATGTGTGCATGTGTGCATGTGTGCATGTGTGCATGCATGCAGGTGCGAGACGTGCTGGGCAACGGGTGTGTGATCAAGAGAAGGCTTCAAGATGGGACAGGTGAGGCTGATGCATTTCTCAATAGGACGAGGTCCTTGCTCAAATCCTATGGTGCCCAACCCGTCAAACCCTTCAAAAACAAAACAAAAAAAACCTAAACCACTTGCAACAGTACCCAACCCGTCAAGTCCACACTCCCAACCCACTTCCCCCTGGGCTGCCCTCCCACTGACCCAGTGCCTCGCGCCACTGCTCCCTGCTCTATCCCTTTCTATCCTCCGTTTGTTCAACCCCATGCTCCCTTCCCGCCAGGCGACTTCCCCATGGACTGTCCGCTGCAGGACTGTGTGGTGCACGTGCACATGCGCGGCACACTGCCAGATCAGGGCGGGGCTGAATTCATGGACACACGCAAAGGGAGCGAGGGCGAGGGGCAACCTGTGCAGATCGGCACAGGGGAGGGGAGGGTGAGTGGGAGGGGAGGGTTTGTGGAAAGGCAGAAGATCAAGCAGTCAATTTACCACCTTTAAGCTTAACAAGGATTGCCTCCTGGGCTTTCCAAAGGCCCAGGATGTGGAGGCAATCCTTGTTGCACCCCAAAGCATCCCTTTCACGCTGCCCTCTCTTGTCCCTAAAGGCTAGCATTCCTCCAATGAGTTTCCTCAAAGCTCTTCTCCCGCACGCCCTCCCTCCCGCTTGCTCACGCCTTCCTTCCCTCTCCCTCCTACTCTCTCCCCGCCCCTCACTACAGCTGCCAGAGGCGCTGGAGGCGAGCATTCGCCTGATGCTGCCGGGAGAGGTGGCGCTGGTCTCGAGCACGGCGCAATACGCCTATGACTCCTTCCCCAGGTGAGGGGGCTTGCATGGCAGCGCTGTGCAATACGCGTATGTCTCGTTCCCTGAAATGTAACTGAGTGAGGCTTCTAGCATGTAGTTGCTAGCATGGTATGGTTGCTTGCGTGCAGTCGAGTGTGCAGTCGAGTGTGCAGTCGAGTGTGCAGTCGAGTGTGCAGTCGAGTGTGCAGTCGAGTGTGCAGTCGAGTGTGCAGTCGAGTGTGCAGTCGAGTGTGCAGTCGAGTGTGCAGTCGAGTGTGCAGTCGAGTGTGCAGTCGAGTGTGCAGTCGAGTGTGCAGTCGAGTGTGCAGTCGAGTGTGCAGTCGAGTGTGCAGTCGAGTGTGCAGTCGAGTGTGCAGTCGAGTGTGCAGTCGAGTGTGCAGTCGAGTGTGCAGTCGAGTGTGCAGTCGAGTGTGCAGTCGAGTGTGCAGTCGAGTGTGCAGTCGAGTGTGCAGTCGAGTGTGCAGTCGAGTGTGCAGTCGAGTGTGCAGTCGAGTGTGCAGTCGAGTGTGCAGTCGAGTGTGCAGTCGAGTGTGCAGTCGAGTGTGCAGTCGAGTGTGCAGTCGAGTGTGCAGTCGAGTGTGCAGTCGAGTGTGCAGTCGAGTGTGCAGTCGAGTGTGCAGTCGAGTGTGCAGTCGAGTGTGCAGTCGAGTGTGCAGTCGAGTGTGCAGTCGAGTGTGCAGTCGAGTGTGCAGTCGAGTGTGCAGTCGAGTGTGCAGTCGAGTGTGCAGTCGAGTGTGCAGTCGAGTGTGCAGTCGAGTGTGCAGTCGAGTGTGCAGTCGAGTGTGCAGTCGAGTGTGCAGTCGAGTGTGCAGTCGAGTGTGCAGTCGAGTGTGCAGTCGAGTGTGCAGTCGAGTGTGCAGTCGAGTGTGCAGTCGAGTGTGCAGTCGAGTGTGCAGTCGAGTGTGCAGTCGAGTGTGCAGTCGAGTGTGCAGTCGAGTGTGCAGTCGAGTGTGCAGTCGAGTGTGCAGTCGAGTGTGCAGTCGAGTGTGCAGTCGAGTGTGCAGTCGAGTGTGCAGTCGAGTGTGCAGTCGAGTGTGCAGTCGAGTGTGCAGTCGAGTGTGCAGTCGAGTGTGCAGTCGAGTGTGCAGTCGAGTGTGCAGTCGAGTGTGCAGTCGAGTGTGCAGTCGAGTGTGCAGTCGAGTGTGCAGTCGAGTGTGCAGTCGAGTGTGCAGTCGAGTGTGCAGTCGAGTGTGCAGTCGAGTGTGCAGTCGAGTGTGCAGTCGAGTGTGCAGTCGAATACAGCCCTGTGTCCAGTCGAGTCGAGTTCAGTGTGCTAGGGTCATTGCTTTGCTAGCACGATTGCTCGCCCCCCTGTGTCGAGCCTGGCGTGTAGGCAGGCACTTGTGTGGCGTCTGCATTGCCGGAAGTCAAGCTGGTGTTGCTGTCCTGCTTTGGGAACAAGCAGCACCCGTGCACACGCCATGCCATCCCATCCTATCCCATCCCACGCCATCCAATGCCATCTCACCCCATCTTACCCCATCCCGACCCATCCCAACCCATCCCATTTCATGCCATGGCGTCTCAACACATCAGGCCAGAAGGGGTACCGGCGGGAGCGAGGGTGCAGTGGGAGGTGGAGCTGTTTGGCTTCGAGCGGCCCAAGGTGAGCCCTTCCACTTGAATGGTTGGGTCTGGTTGGGTCTGGTTGGGGGTGCGAGGGTGCAGTGGAAGGTGGAGCTGTTTGGCTTCGAGCGGCCCAAGGTGAGTGCATGCATGAGTGGTGGCAGGGCAAGGTGTGGTGCATGGATGAGTGGTGGCAGGGCAAGGTGTGGTGCATGGATGAGTACCGGTAGGGTGCATGGGTGGCAGCAGGTGGAGCGAGTGGGATTTCTTCAGTCATGAGAGGGAGCGAGGGTGCAGTGGGAGGTCGAGCTGTTTGGATTCGAGCGGCCCAAGGTGAGCCCTTCCACTTGAACGGTTGGGTCTGGTTGGGTCTGGTTGGGTGTGCGAGGGTGCAGTGGGAGGTGGAGCTGTTTGGATTCGAGCTGCCCAAGGTGAGCCAATGTATTCGAGCCAAGGTCTGAAGAGAATCAAAGTGAGCTGTTTTTTTCGCGTTCGACCTCTCCGTTCCCCTCTTTCCGTTCTTTCCCCTCTTTCCGTTCTTTCCCCTCTTTCCGTTCTTTCCCCTCTTTCCGTTCTTTCCCCTCTTTCCGTTCTTTCCCCTCTTTCTTCTCTCTTCCCATTCTTTCTTCTCTCTTCCCATGACCCCCCACTTTCGCTTTCCTTCTCCTCCCGTTTCCCGCTCTCTCTCCTCTTTTCGTCTGCCCCTCTCCTTCCCACCCCCATGGCTGTGAGATCAGGGCTAGGAGGGGCTGTTGTTTCAAGAGATTCCCGCTGTGCTGCCATGGTTTGTGCACGCTTTTCTAGTTGATCCTCCCATCCCACACCCTAAACCTCCAACCCCCAACTCCATACCATACCCCAAACCCCTACCCTGTTTCCGTGGCTGTGAGAGCAGGGCTGGGAGGGGCTGTCGTTTGAAGAGATTCTTGCTGAATAGAAAAGGGTTGTGTGCACACTACTAGATCATCCTCCCACACCCTAAATCTTTAACCCCCAACATTATACCCCAAACCCCTACCCTGTTTCCGTGGCTGTGAGAGCAGGGCTGGGAGGGGCTGTCGTTTGAAGAGATTCTCGCTGAAATTGACAAAACCAAGCAGTTGGTATGGAATACCACTGGTCTTGGGGTTCACTTTAGGGTTCACTTTAGGGTTCACTTTAGGGTTCACTTTAGGGTTCACTTTAGGGTTCACTTTAGGGTTCACTTTAGGGTTCACTTTAGGGTTCACTTTAGAGTTCACTTTAGGGTTCACTTTAGGGTGGCAAGCAGCTGGTTGCGACTGGTTCAAACTGCTATGGTGTGTGCCTTGTTCTGTGCTTGACCCGTGGGGTTTCAATGTTGACTTGATGGAACCATCATATTCATCCCATCCCATCCCGTCCCACCACGTCCCATCCCATCCCATCCCATCCCATTCCATCCCATCCCATCCCATCCCATCCCATCCCATCCCATCCCATCCCATCCCATCCCATCCCATCCCATCCCATCCCATCCCATCCCATCCCATCTCATCCCATCCCATCCCATCCCGTCCCACAACGTCCCACCACGTCCCACCACGTCCCACCACGTCCCATCTCACTGCCTGCAGGGGAATACGCTGTACAAGGAGAAGAAATATAGCCACGCATGCAGCAAGTATGAAAGGGTAAGGTCCAATCCGCTGTACATGCTGCCTTGCACTTGTGGCGATGCAGCATAGGCTGCTTTGGAGTCGTTTTTGAGAATTTTCAAAGACGACCAACGTGTGCCGTACACGCTGCCGTCCACTCGTAGTAATGCAGCGTAGACTGTTGGCTATTCTAGCGTGGCCTTTTGACTCCGTTGGCTGTTGCACTGCTTTGCTTGCACCAAACCGCTCGTTTCTTCGAGGCGAGGCGTTTCAAAAACTCGCTCCTAAGTTTGCGGCTGAGGCTGCTGGCTCTTTTGAGTGGCCTTTTGAGTCTTTCGGGGAGGTGCGTTGCACCAAAGCTTTATGCCTTGCACCACTCTCCACCACTTGGTACCATTCGTTTGTTGAGCAGCTGCTGAGGGAGATGAGGCATGTGCATCCCAAGGAGGGCGAGGAGGCAAAGCAGTTCAACACCGTGCAGGTGAGAGAGGGGGAAGGGTGTGGAGAGGGGGGGGAGAGTGTGGAGCAGGTGGGGTTGGTGAAGGGGAAGGGGGCATTTGCATCCCAAGGAGGGCGAGGAGGCGAAGCAGTTCAACACCGTGCAGGTGAGAGAGGGGGGGGGGTGTGGAGAGGGGGTGGTCATTGTGGAGCAGGTGGGGTTGGTGAAGGGGAAGGGGGCATTTGCATCCCAAGGAGGGCGAGGAGGCGAAGCAGTTCAACACCGTCCAGGTGAGAGAGGGGGGAGGGTGTGGAGAGGGGGTGGTCATTGTGGAGCAGGTGAGGGAGATGCGGCACGTGCACCCCAAGGAGGGCGAGGATTCAAAGCAGTTCAACACCGTGCAGGTGACGTGATTGGGGGAGCGGGTGGCAGGCGACAGGGGGAATGGGCGGCAGGGAGGATGCGGGGGCAGGGGGGACGTGGGGGGAGGTGAAAATGGGATAGTGCCGGCAGGTTGGGGCAGTGCAGTGGGGGCAGTGGGATGTGTGTTGGATGGGGCAGCATGGACACTAAGCCGTCCCTTATCCCCTCCCCCTCCTCCCCCCAACTACACGGCCCCTCCCTGCAGACCGCTCTGCAGCTGAACGTGGCGGCATGTCAGCATGGCATGGCGGAGTATGCACGGGCCATAGAATGGGCGGACAAGGTAAGTTGCCCTCAGCATGTCACCGTGGCTTGCTGGCGTGATGCCACACCAGCAGCGTGTCAGCATGACATGGGGAAGTATGCACGGGCTATAGAATGGGCGGACAAGGTAAGATGCCCTCAGCATGTCACCGTGGCTTGCTGGCGTGATGCCACACCAGCAGCGTGTCAGCATGACATGGGGGAGTATGCACGGGCTATAGAATGGGCGGACAAGGTAAGATGCGTGGGATGTAGTTGAGGATGAAGGGGAGGGAGCGAAGTATGTGCCCGCATTCAAAAGGTGAGATGGAGTACGTTGGGTGTAGTTTTCTGGGTTGAATGGGAGCGAAGTTTTGCCATGTTACAGCTCGTCCCCATTCACTCCCATTAGTTGCCATGTGACAGCTCCAACTCGTCCCCTCTCTCTCATTATTCGCCCTTGTTGCTCAAACTCGTCCCCATGCTCCCAGGTGCTTACAGAGCAACCCAACCACGCCAAGCACTCCACCGGAGAGCACTGGCACGCATGCACTCTGCTGGCCCTCACACCTGTCCACGCCCGCCCTTCTTGCCCACCCCTCTTCCTCCCAGGTGCTCACAGAGCAGCCCAACCACGCCAACGCGCTCTTGTTCTGGCGCAGGCCCTCCAAACATCGCCTGCTCGGCCTCTTCCTCACGCTCCCTGCTGCTTTTCCTCTCCGGCTCTCCTTGCCCAACCTCTTCCTCCCTCCCAGGTGCTCACAGAGCAGCCCAACCACTCAAAAGCACTCTACCGGAGAGCATTAGCTCGCATGCACTCCGCTGCCCCTCAGGCCTGACCTCTTCACTTGCCTCGCCCTCTTTGCTCTACCCTCATGCTTACACTCCCAGGTGCTCACGGAGCAGCCCAACCACTCAAAAGCACTCTACCGGAGAGCACTGGCTCACATGCACTCCGCTGCCTTTGACGAATCCAGGGCCGACCTCCAACGGGTATGAGGTGTCCGCCGCAATAAGGGCTTGAAACGAGTATGCAGTGTTCTGTAACTTGTCACCAAGGAACCTCCTCATTACCGAAAACAGCAGCTTTCTGTTCTGAGGCATGTCAAAGTTTACCTTTAGTGGTCTCTATTCTGATAATTTCATATTTCTGCTTTTCTTGTTACACAATATTGTTTTCCTGTTTTATCGACTTCATGGTATATCTGCCATGTGCTGTGCTGTGCTACAGATGGTGAAGGCAGACCCATCCACACAGGCAGATGCCACTGCTGCTCTCGCCAAGCTCAAGAAGATGGAAGAGGTGAGAGGTTCAACAGAGGTGAGAGGTTCGGCAGAGGTGAGAGGTTCGGCAGAGGTGAGAGATTCGGCAGAGGTGAGAGGTTCGGCAGAGGTGAGAGGTTCGACAGAGGTGAGAGGTTCGACAGAGGTGAGAGGTTCGACAGAGGTGAGAGGTTCGACAGAGGTGAGAGGTTCGACAGAGGTGAGAGGTTCGACAGAGGTGAGAGGTTCGACAGAGGTGAGAGGTTCGACAGAGGTGAGAGGTTCGACAGAGGTGAGAGGTTCGACAGAGGTGAGAGGTTCGACAGAGGTGAGAGGTTCGGCAGAGGTGAGAGGGTCGGCAGAGGTGAGAGGCTCGACAGAGGTGAGAGGTTCGACAGAGGTGAGAGGTTCGGCAGAGGTGAGAGGGTCGGCAAAGGTGAGAGGTTCGACAGAGGTGAGAGGTTCGGCAGAGGTGAGAGGGTCGGCAGAGGTGAGAGGTTCGACAGAGGTGAGAGGTTTGACAGAGGTGAGAGGCTCGGCAGAGGTGAGAGATTCGGCAGAGGTGAGAGGTTCGGCAGAGGTGAGAGGTTCGGCAGAGGTGAGAGGTTCGACAGAGGTGAGAGGTTCGGCAGAGGTGAGAGGTTCGGCATGTTAGTGTTAGCCTTCAATCTCACACTTTGTACTTTGTATTTTCTATATCCTAGAGTAGTGTAGTTTGCACATTGTGTTTGGTTGGGTGTACACCTACATCCCAACCAAACCCAAATGTAATCTCCAAGCAATCTCCAACCCACCAATTGGAGATTGCCTTGGGAATACCCCCAATCCCTATGGATTGCCCCCGATTCCCTTCCCCATCCATTCCCTCCCCTTCTTGGATGTACTTAAAGAGCTTCAAGCTCATTACTAATGTATCGCTTCTAAGCCTAAGTTATGAGATGGTATCAGAGCCCTTCAAACCGCACACGCGGATCGTGATCCTCTTATCTCTGCGGATGTTCGTCCCGCAAACCTCGGCGTAACCGCCTTCAATCTCGTCGCCGTTGATTCTCGACATTCGTGGGCGGAAATTCTTCCGCACCACTTTCCCTTCACTCTCGACGGCATCTACTATCTCACTGGTAAGCGCATCGTCGGTGCTTTAACCTATCGCTCGTTTTCGTCGCATCATTCCTTCTCCTCGTCGGGCTGTCGCCCGTCGCCCTGCAGCTTCTCGTCGGGCCGCCGCCCGTCGCCCTGCAGCTTCACCTTCGGGCTGCCGCCCGTCGCTCCGCATCTGCACTCCTACCCCCATCCCCTCCCTTTCCCGCAGCTGAACAGGTGCAGCAGCGCAGCCGAGCAGCAGCGCAACCGAGCAGCAGCGTAGCCGCGAAGCCGAGCAGCCGTGTAGCCGCGAAGCCGAGCAGCAGCGCAGCCGAGAAGCTGAGGGTGGTGTGTGGGGGTGTGTGTGGGAATAGGATTAGTAGGTAGTTGACACTAAATTGGCGTTTCAGTCGAATTCTCCGTCAGAAACCCTAAACCTCAAAATTCTCTTTCGTAAACCCTAAACCTCCGGTTCTTCAAAATCTCCTTCGGAAACCCCAAACCTCAAGTTCCTATCGTTGACTCAAGAGCGGCGCTCCGCGCGACACCCTAAGGGGTCTCCATCATGGCATTCGCCTCGTCCACCATGGCCAACCCCATCACCCCACTCCGTCTTGACGCCGATGGCTCTAGCTCCAACTTCAAGGCATGGAGCTATGGGGTTGACAAGCACCTGCTGAGCCGTGACGTGCAGGGATTGGACCTCAAGGATGTCCTCCTCAACCGTGGCAAGGGAAAACAGCCCCTTCTCCCTCGCGAGCCGACCGAATCCGCTAGTGAGGCTGACACAAAGGCATATGAGGAAGCCGTTGAGAAGTACCGGAAGTGGGAGAAGGCCGATGCTGCAATTATCAGTGTCTTCATCGCCTCCACCCCTCCAGAACTTGTCAACACGTTCCATAACTACCCTACCTCCAACGCCATCTGTAAGTATCTCCAGGATCGGTTTATGAACAAGACTGCAGTCGGAGTTGCCATCCTCATCCCCAGCATGTTCCAGGTCCGCCTTGAGGATTGCTCGGGAATGGCCGACTACATTGCCAAGGTTCAGACCATTCATGGCGAACTCAAGGAGCTGGGTATAGTCTTCCCCGAACAGGCCCCTCCAGCAGCTCTTCTCGTTGGTCTTACCACAACCTATGAAATCACAAGGAAGATGCTCCTCACGCTGACTGCGAAAGACCTCACTTTTGCCAAGGTCTCCACCGCACTCCTCTCTGCCGAGAAAGACTCCACGGCTCAGGCCAAGGCTTACGCCATCCGTGCTCCCATGCCTCAAGCCAGTGTCGCATCGGCCCTTGCCTCGGCGCCCCTCCAGCGCAACCGCTTCCCACCGTGCACCTACGTCGTCAAGTATGGCAACCGCAAGGGACAAGTGTGTGGTGGCACTAACCACCCCCTTGCTACGTGCTTCAAGAAGAAGGAGGACGAATGGTACGCCATCCACGGCATAGACAAGAGGCCACCGAACTGGATGCGTGCGCGCAAGGCCAACCTGGTTGAGGTCCAGGACCCCGCTTCGGCTAGTGCTAGTGATAGTGCTCCTGCTGATGCCTGTATCAACCTGTTGTTCCCTGGCACTGCCATGATTAATGAAGCTTCCTCCCAGTACCTCGGCTCATCACAAGCACCACAATACATAGAGTTCACACTCGACAGCGGGGCCACACACACTGTACTCAAGGAGACACTCTCCTTCAAACCCTACGCAACACCCATCCCTCTCCTAGGAGATGACTCAAGCTTCACCACTCATGCCAAGGGTTCATCCACAGTCCCGTGCCCCGCCTTCCCTTCCGGCACTGTCACTGGAATGTGCGTGCCTTCATTCCGCCACAATCTCGTGGCCCAAACGGAAATTCAGGAAGCTGGACTACGCACCATCTTCTGGGAGAACGAGAACTATGGTGATATCCTCGACCCACTCACCAACAAGGTCTTGACTCGTTTCACCCTCAACAGCAGCGGCCTTTACACGCTGCAAGTACCCATCCCACAGGTGTCAACCACCCAAACAGCGGCGACTACCTCACCATGCTCGTGCCGCAGTTTCTCCAACCCGACCATACTCTACCACCATCGGTTGGGGCACCCAAACTTCCGCACACTTGCTGACATGGCCTCCAAGAAACTTCTACTCGGCCTGCCAGCCTCACTTCCTCCACCACCAGACTCCCCCGCTCCCACGTGCCTTGACTGCACCAAGAGCAAACTGCGTCAACAGCCCCACCCGGCCTCACCCTCTGTCGCAGCAGGACCACTGGACCTGGTACACCTGGACGTCTGGGGCCCTGCCCCTGTTCCCGCACGAGGTGGTTATCGCTACTTCCTTGTTATCGTCGATGACCACTCTCGCTACGTCTCTGTTCACCTCCTCCACACTAAGGCTGCGGTTCCAAAGGTCCTCATGGCGTGGGTTAAACAGGCACAGACCGCCTTTGGCCGCAAAGTCAAGCGCCTCCACTCAGATGGTGGTGGTGAGTTTTGCAACGACAAGCTCAAAGCCTTCTGCTCTTCAGAAGGCATCCAGCAAAACTTCACCCTCCCTGACAGCCCGCAGCAGAACGGCATAGCTGAGAGCCGCAACCACACCTTGGTGCAGATCACTCGGTGCCTCCTCAGCCACTCCAACGCTCCACACTCTCTCTGGGGGTACGCTCTCTACCACGCCGCCCTCCTCTACAACCTTTACCCCCACCCGCATCTTTCCGACACCACTCCAACCACACTCTGGCTCGGGAAAACGCCCACTGCTCGCTCTCTTCGCGTTTGGGGGTGCACCGCCTATGTCCTCCTCAACCCTCAGGCTCGACGGCAGCACGGCGGCAAGCTCGGTCCCAAGACCCAGACATGCATCTACCTCGGACACAACGCCGACTCGCCTGGCTACCTCTTCCTCAATCCCTCCACTCAGCAGTTGGTCCGGAGCCGCGACGTTGTCTTTGATGAGACCCGCCCATTCTACTCCACTTCGGGACGGGACCCTCTCCCTGACCCACCCTCCCTCGTGTGGGCAGACTTTGATGCGCCTCCTGACCTCTCGCCTGCTCCGGCCCCTTCACCCCCTACCCCTCCTGCCACCGCACCGTCCCCCTCTGCGGTCTCTGACCCGCCCTCACCGGTGTCTTCGGCAGCTGCTCCTCCATCCCCCTCACTTCCCACTCCGCCGACTGTGCAGCCACCTCCGAGCGCACCTATCACCTACCATCGGCGGTCCCACCCTCCGGCCCCACCTCCTCCCCCGGTTCCCCCCACCACAGAGGAACCCGCTCTCCCACAGTCGCCCGAGCTGATCACGTACCACCGGCGGCCCATTCCCCCACCCAAGCCTCCTAAGTCAACCCCTCCGACACCGCCTGCCCCACCCTCTTCTCCGGTGGCTCATGGCACTCGTTCGCATGGCGCGGCTCTTCCACTAGCGCTGGTTCTTCGATACACGGCGATCACACCACCTCCTCCTGCTGGGGGGGATGTGCCCTCTACCCTTCTGGAAGACAGGCATGAGGAGCTGTGTGATCTTCATGCAGTCATTCCTCAGCTCTCGCACATCTTCCCCGACATCACTGACTGACCCTCCCTCAATTTCGCGGAGAACCCGACCATCCCTATCCCTCTCACCGTCCAAGAGGCTCTCTCAGGCCCTCATGCTGCCGAATGGCGTGCTGCCATGGAAGCGGAGATTGCAGCATTCACCCGCAACCACTCCTTCGACGACGAGACACCACCTCCAGGAGTCAACATCGTCGGGGGCAAGTGGTTGTTCCGTGTAAAACAGCTCCCAGACGAGGCCGCGGTGTTCAAAGCGCGTTACGTAGCCAAGGGCTTCACCCAGCAGCAGTACCGCGACTTCTTCCTAACCTTCTCCCCCACATCCAAACCTCCCACCATTCGTACGCTCATGGATGTCGCAGCTCGAGAAGACTTTGAGATCAAATCCATGGATGCCTCATCCGCCTTCCTACAAGGACGTCTCAAGGAGACGGTGTTCATGCCAGACCAGAAGGCTTCCCAGGAGAATTTCCTCCCAACACTGTCTGGAAGCTGAATCGCCCCGTCTACGGCCTTAAGCAAGCCCCTCGCGAATGGCACAACAAGGTGAAAGAAGTCCTCCTCTCCCTGGACTTCCACCCTTCAACTGCTGACCCGACTCTCTTCATCCGCCGTCATTCTGAGCCATTCTACATCCTGGTCTACGTGGATGATTTCATCCTCGTTGCCAAGGACTCGGCCCAGATGACCTCTGTCCAGGCAGCCCTGAGCAAGGCTCTCCAGATGAAAGACCTCGGTGACCTCAAGCACTACCTGGGGATGGAGATCACTCGTGATCGCCAGGCTCGCACCATTTCACTCTCCCAGGAGTTCTACATCGACAATGTGCTCAAGCGGTTTGAGATGGAGCTGTGCACACCTGTTGCCACCCCGCTGCCGCTGCAACACCTCCTCACTGCTCCAGCTGTACCCACACCAGAGGCCTGCTCTGAGCCATACCCGGAGCTTGTTGGGTCCCTCATGTACGCCATGATGTGCACCCGACCGGACTTGGCCTATCCTGTCAGTGTCCTCTCTCGCTACGTGGCCCCTGGACGCTTCACTGATCTTCACTGGAAGGCGGCGAAGCGGGTGCTGCGCTATCTTCAGGGCACCAAGTCTCACGTTCTCACACTCGGTGGGCTCTCCCCTCCTCGCCTGGAAGGTTACACCGACTCCTCCTGGGCTGATGACCAGACCGACCGACGCTCCTCTCAGGGGTACTGCTTCACCCTTGGGAGCGGAATTGTCAGTTGGCGCTCCACCAGGTCGTCTGCAGTCTCCCTCTCCTTCTGTGAGGCAGAGCTGTACGCAGGCACCATGGCTGCTTAGGAGGCCCGTTGGCTCACCTTCCTACTCCAGGAGCTTGGTTTCCCACAGTCCGCCCCCACCCTCTGGTGTGACAACCAGAGTACCATCCACATCTCTCAAGACCCTGTGTATCACACCCGCACCAAGCATATTGAACTTCGGCACTTCTTCATCCGTGACCTTGTCCAACAGGAGCAGCTGAAAGTGGAATACGTTGCATCTGACTGCAACCTGGCTGATCTGTTCACCAAGCCCCTTGGGAAAGTTCCCCACCACCGTCTCCTAGGCGCCATGGGGCTCTGTGCACCACCCTCTCTACCATGAGTTCGATTGACGCCTATGGGGGGGTGTTAGTGTTAGCCTTCAATCTCACACTTTGTACTTCGTATTTTCTATATCCTAGAGTAGTGTAGTTTGCACATTGTGTTTGGTTGGGTGTACACCTACATCCCAACCAAACCCAAATGTAATCTCCAAGCAATCTCCAACCCACCAATTGGAGATTGCCTTGGGATTACCCCCAATCCCTATGGATTGCCCCCGATTCCCTTCCCCATCCATTCCCTCCCCTTCTTGGATGTACTTAAAGAGCTTCAAGCTCATTACTAATGTATCGCTTCTAAGCCTAAGTTATGAGACGGCAGAGGTGAAAGGCTCGGCAGAGGTGAGAGGTTCGGCAGAGGTGAGAGGTTCGGCAGAGGTGAGAGGCTCGACAGAGGTGAGATGCTCGACAGAGGTGAGAGGTTCGGCAGAGGTGAGAGGTTCGGCAGAGGTGAGAGGCTCGGCAGAGGTGAGAGATTCGGCAGAGGTGAGAGGTTCGGCAGAGGTGAGAGGTTCGGCAGAGGTGAGAACCAGCTGAGTTTAGAGGCTTGACTGAAATGCGATGCTTGGAATGCGAGAGGCTCGGTAAAGGTTGAAAGCTCAGCTGAGGCGAGAGGCTCAGGAGAGGCGAGAGGCTCAGCTTCAGTGAGAGGCTTGGAAGAGGTGAGAGGCTCGGAAGAGGTGAGAGGCTCGGAAGAGTTGAGAGGCTCGGAAGAGGTGAGAGGCTTGGAAGAGGTGAGAGGCTCCGAAGAGGTGAGATGCTCGGAAGAGGTGAGAGGCTTGGAAGAGGTGAGAGGCTTGGAAGAGGTGAGAGGCTTGGAAGAGGTGAGAGGCTTGGAAGAGGTGAGAGGCTCGACCAACAAGTGCGTTCACGACAGCCATGGAGGCCCCATTCCTGTCTAACCCTGGTGCTCACATTACCGCCCTTCCTTCCGCTCCTTTTCCATTCCTCTCGTGACTACCCCATCCCGCCTCCCTCGTCCCTGCCCTCCCTCTCTTGGGCTGCAGGAGGCAGAGTCTTGGCCGCGCAGAGAGCTGGGCGGGTGATTTGATTGCAAGCCGGGCAGTCTGACAGCTCACGACCCCTCCCCTGCTAGTGCTGCTGCTGGTGCTGGTGCTGGTGGTGCTACGAGTGCATCCCTCACAGCACCTTCCCCCTCCGCCCCACCTCCTTCCTGCTTGCCCCTCCCCCTTACAGGAGGCGGAGGGTCGGCAGCGCAGAGAGTTGGGCGGATGGTTCGACCGCAAGCCAGGCAGTCTGACGGCTCACGACCCCCACCCCTCTGCTAATGCTGCTGCTGCTGCTGCTGTTACTGGTGACTCTGTGGCAACTGGTGCTGCTGGTAGTGGTGCTGCAAGTGGTGGTGGTAGGGATGGTGGTAATCCACCAGTGTTGTCTCAGGCAACGAGCAGAGCTGTGCGGCGGGCGGCACGGAAGGCAGCAGCCACTCTGTCTGGGGATACAGGTGCTTCTGCTGACAGTGACAGTAGCCAAAGTGACAATGAAGAGGGGCGTGATAATGGTGATGGTGTTGAAGGGGATGGAATGGGAGGGGATGAGGAGGAATCGGAGCTCCTAGGGGCATTTACCCCCGTGAAAAGAACGGCGCTGCTTACGTATGGACCAGGATCGGTGCTGCTGATGCTGCTGCTTGCGTTTGGGTTGCTTTTGGTGAAGGACTTAGACTGGATGAGGACGGCTCACATGCCAGTGGTGGAGCTTTACTCCTCTGAGCTGTTGGATACTCAAGTGGACGATTACATGGTTGATGAGTTATAGGTTGTGAAATATTCGTTTTTGCGTGTATTTTGTGGATTTAATTGGACGTATGAGCACTAGGAAACTTCATGCATGGTGGTGTGGACAAGGATGCCAAGATACTTCTACGCCGCTATTTAGAGCAGTATATAGACTTGTAGCTGGTGTAGCTATTGATGCACGGTGAAGTGTACAAGTCGTTACTTCACTTCCAGTTGTGGTTGTTTGTGCAGGTTCGTGGTGTGCAAGTGGGGTGGTAGTTTCTCGCTGGTGCCGCCACGCAAGCACCATCCCTGCAAATGATTGTGCACCGCCGATTTTTTACATTGCGGGTCTCTGTACTGCTTCACCTGAAGAGATCCCTGACAGGGAGCCTGAGCTAGTCCCGCAGGCCCGCAACTGTTTTGCGTAACGCATGCGAAATCATAAATGCCAGTTTTCTGGACAGGGCAGAACATGCTTGGGTGGTCTACAGTGCTTCACGAAGGATCCGCGTTGCCGCATTGCACTCGGGGATCTTGTTGCCCTCTGCGGGAATCGAGGGAAGAAAAATCCACTTTACCCTTGCTGCCCGAAAGTTAAAGGCGGGGTGCAACTTCTTAGGAACAGTAGGGGGACAAAAATGGCATGTGAGTAACTTGAATTCTATTGGACGAAAAAACTGGAAAACCAGAAGAGGACAAACTTCTCGGCTCTGAACTGCCTGGGTCAACCTCTTCCAAGCTATAATACTTTGAAGTTGAAGTTGATAGTTGGGCCACGGCTTTAACGCGGAACCAGGGTGCACCACATCAACATGTCCTTTATCGAAGCAACTATTCAGCCTCGGTTTGACTGCATCCTGTGCCACGTAATGCTGCTCTCCTAGCAAACACGCCATCGTGTCCGTAGATCAAGGTTTCAAGAACAGAATTCATCCGCCAATGGGCTACTTTTCCAAGGCCCTAGGCATCTGGTTGCCCGCTTGAATTCTTTGCGCTCCACAGTTCTCGGCATGGTCCTGACTCTTGCCCCTCTCCACCATAGCCATTTCCGATCGTCCAAGAATTTTGGCCGAGTAGCAGCTCTGCATACTGTCCGGCACCTGCCTCCCTTGTTCCATTCAGATTTTGAAACTTTTATTTAATCAGGCCTGTGCGCAGGTCCACCCAGAAGGTTCTGGTTCTACTCATAAACCCTGCTGGGACGGAATAGTGCTCAGAATAACGAGGCAGTGAGTTAAAATATGCAGCGTTGAACAGATATAATTCACTGTTTCCAGCTCTGCCACTCCCAGGCCCAACTCAGCCACAGTATATTTTAGAATACAAGTTATGTACACGATGTTTCCTGCCCGAGATCCTCTGCCAACACAAGGTTGACGTCAAGTTCGATGTCAAGATCGACGTCCATTGGAGGAAGGCGGTTCTTCCGCTTCAAGAATCGAGGCATCCGTGAGAGCACTGCAGTGTCCGCCATGCCCTGCCCGAACCAAAACCAAACCTGGTCTCCGCGCAGTCGCGAGCGCCAAAACCCAGGGCTCAGAAGGGTTTGCCGCTTTGTCGTTTCCAGCACTACCGTCATCTAGCGCTCTCCCCGCAAGAGAGCTTCTCTGGGGAAACCCCTGAAAATTCCCCAGCTCCGACGAGCCGCGTTTGTGTTAGCTCAACCTGGGGGTGGGGAAATCCTCCAAAGGAGGCGCATCCGCGACTGGCGGAAAGCGGAAGTTGGCTGGTTGCCCGTCGGCGACGGGGGCTACTTGCCAGCGCGGACCAACCAGATCCAGCGAACCAAATTCCCAGGGCAGCCAGTTTTGACCACAGTAGCCCCTTGCCCCTACCCGCCACCCATGCATTTCCGCTCCCTCACACTCCCTCTTGCTCTCTTGCCTTGCCCCCTCCCACCAACCCGAGCTTACACCACCTTCTCTCCCTTCATCCCGGGCATTTTTTCTAAGCCAGTGCAAGGCTGCAAGCTCTTGTTCGGTCTGCCCTGCCTTGCCATTCAGCTTAGTCCACGCACTACCTGACCCTACTCCACTCATCGACCACATCTCGATTCTCGCGATTGTCGGGCTTCTCCGTTCCCCTGTCCACTCCTCCTGGCTACATGGTGGAGCGGCGGTGTTGCGATCAGCTAATCTCGCAACCTTCTATCTGAACGACTTGGATCCGCCATTGAGGCACAGCAAACATTGCTGCCAATGATCGTCTAGCCACTCTGCATCACAGCCCAGCCATTTTCCTTCGAACACCGTCAGCGCAGCGGTGCGCCAGCTACCGAGTCGGTGTCGCAGCGGCCTTCCGTCAATTGGCATTCCGAATCACATGGCGCTCGATTGGGCCAAAGCGTTGCGCCAGGCGGCCAAGATCCGCTCATCCGTGCATCACCAGTGGAGCCCCGACTGCGCGGCGGCGGAAAGCAGCGGGCTTTCTGCCGGCGGCGGGCTTTCCGCCAACTCTCTCCCCGCGTGCCCCGCGCCGTGGGCGCTCTCTCCCGCCACCCCCTCGTCGTCCACGTCGGAGGGAGACAGCGCCGTAACGGTTACCAACGGATGCAAGCCTTTCGCTGCGGCGAAAAAGCTCTCCGTCTCGCTTTCTGCGCAACCATCCGCGCAGCTCTCCGCGCAGGCCCCCTCCCCCGCCCGCCGCGCAAGCTCACGCCGCGGCAGACATGCAGCACCGATGCAAGTTCCGCCACTAGCCAGTCCTTCGACGGGTAGTTGCTCCTATAGCGGGCGTGGGGGGGCGGCGGCGGAAGCCGCGAGTCCGCGGAGCGCTTCGTGGGTGGGCGCGGCGGTCGAGACCCCGCGGGGAGCCAGCGGAGCGCCGCCGTCCTTCACGGCGGTGTCGCCCTTGCTTCTTCCGCCGAATGCCGCGAATGGCGCAGCGGATGTCCCCGTCGTTCACCTCTCCTCTTCGCGCAAAGCAGCTCTCTCTCGGCGCGCAAAAAGACCCGCTTCCCCCCCTGCAGCTGCTGCCGCCGCGTCGCCATCCGCGGCGGAGGTGGAGACGGCGCTCAATGATTGGTTGACGAATGTTCTTGCGCCGGCTCTTGCGGCTGGTGGGGCGGCAAGCGGCAATGCGGCTGCGGCTCGGGCATCAAGCAATAAACCGTTAACTGATATGTCTGCCGGTTTCCAACTTGGATCTTCCGCATCCGCCTCCATTGCGCCTCCCCCGCCTTTTTCCGCGTCCCCGGCCAATAGGCTCGCGGAGCAGCTGGTCGGGCAATGGCGGAAGGCGCAACAGCTTCCCCGCGCGCCCGCATCCACGCCACCTGCGCCGGCGGTGGTGCAGGCGCCGGCGGAAGCGCCCGCGCCGTTCCTGGCCCGACCGTCCTTCCCCCGAACGTCCTGCTCCGCCTCAGCCCCATCCCCGTTCGGCGGATCGCAGTGCAGCCTGGTCGCCCCGCCTCCGCCAGTCGCACAGGCTGGCAATGCGCCCGCGCATGTGCCGGCGCATGCGCCAGTGCACGCGCCCGCGCAGCCCTTGTCTCCGCCTGAGGCGCATTCCGCGCGCGGAGGCAACGACTCGCCGGAAGACGCCTTCTGTCCGCTCGCCTTCCTGGCAGGCGACCTTGACGAGTGCGATCAGGTGAAACCTCAGTTGATTCCGCAAGACGTGGCGGATGCGAAGGGGAAGCTGTCTGGAGATGGGGGGATGGAGGGCTGCGCGGGTTTGTTTCTCTCCGCCACCCATGACTTGCGGGGCGCGGCCCAGACCGGAGGGGGGAAATGCGCGGAGGAGGGGGAGTCCCTGGAGGAGCTAGCCGCACAGGATATTGACTGGCAGTCCCTGCTTGCACCCTGGGAGCCGGCTTCAGGTGGTTCTTCAGGTGCTCCGGATTCGGAAGTCGCAGACCCAGTTGAAAACAGCAGTGGAGTTGCAGCGGTGGAAAATAACGGGCCCAACGATTGCCCCAGTGCGAACAGTCAAGTGGTTGCTACAGGAGACGGTGACCTGGCGCCCATGTGGCATGCTGACGTGGCGGATCTGTGCATGGGAGTGCCAGCATGGATTTCGCATGAGTATATGGACGGTCTGCACCAGTGGGACTCCCACAGCTATGAGGAGGAGCATCTGCACTTGGCTAAGCGCCAACGCTTAGTCTAAGGCACGCTTGATCTGTGAACGCTTAGTCTCAGTTTGAGGACAGTCACTTCCTCCCCGAACATTCTGTGCTGCGGTGGGCTGGCAGCATGATACAAGTATATTCAATAGTACGTTGCATCCAAGCGGCATGCTAGTACAGTATATACGGAGGTGATTTGCCCTGTTTGTTACCAATAAGGTGTGAGCGGCACTGGCCGTGCTTCAGATAGTGCCCTGCTTGTCAGGGACGTGGGTTCGTTTCTGTATTGTATGTTTTGCTTGCGTGCCATACTCTCTGTGATAAAAAAACGCCTTGTGTTGGACATAGCACTATTGGACCTGACTAATCATCGGCGTGTATCTGTAATCCTCGTCCGTGAAATGCTACGTTGGGGATTCAGTTTTGACAGAGATATTTCTGTTGTCAGATGGACCGTGAGCAGATGAAGGTATAAAAATATGTGTCACTTTCAGACTTCACCATTCTCAGTACCGCGTACAGCTCTGTGCGTTTCACTGTTCTCTGGGGCGTTGCCCGTGCTTCACCCTTCGCACCATCGCGCATCGCCTGTGACCCGAACCTACGGGCGGGGTGAGGTAACCACGTCGCCTGATACCGATCATCATTCGCGAATCAATCTCACTCATACCGTACTCTCTCCCACCTCTTTTGCCTGGTGAGGTACAATTCCAAGCTATGAAGGACAAGCGACGAACGCCTGATTTATACCTCTGGTATGAAGCTAATGTAATGAGTATCTATGCAAGCATCAACAGCAAGCATGGCAAAGCATCTCATCCTAGTAAACAGAGTCGTACTTGCGTCACAGGGAATCCTCAACATGTATCACTTCATATTTACATATTCACCTCGCAGATCTATATTGCTTCATCTCTTCGTTTGTTATACCGAGTTTCAGAAGGATAAACGCCGCAAAACAGGAATATAAACAATTTATGATGTATCTGGATAAAAAATGTATATTTATTGCATAGGAAACTTCACACAAGACAGCTGAATTCACCAAGCTGTGCTCTCTGTTTGGAAACACCGTCATTGAGACGAGCCAAGCCAAATGCAGTATCTGGACTACTTATTAATCCCCTTGTAGTCTCCCAACCACTTATTACGGAGGCAGGTGGACACTCACGGCAGGCACTGCTGCTCGTTTGGCCGATCCCGAGTTCTTGCTCCACTTCACGTACAGGTAACCCCAACGCACCCATCGTTAAAAGTAAGACCACGCCGAGAGAACTTATAAAGCAGCAGGCAATCTCAGCGACAGACTCAAGTCGCAGCCGCTGTCGTCGCCGCTGTGCGACGGCGTGGCGACATCGGCGGGCGGCAGAGCGAACGCGTCGAGAGAGGCGCTGCTGCTACTGCTGGCAAAAGAATCGGCGCGCTTCAGTGTGGTAACTGGCGAAGCTACCTCCCACTCCATTTCACCCATCGCGGCCGCATCCTCGCGAATGAAGAAATGGAAGGGGCTTTGCGCAAGCGGCACGGCGCGGAATGTCTCCTCCCCCCCACGCATGTCAGACGTCGCCACCGCCTCCATGCAAACTTCCCCTTGCCCCTCTTGCGCGCACTCCGCGGAACCCGCGCGGGTGAAGAATTCCGCTGTGGGCCACTGCGACTGGGGGAACGGCACGGGAGCGGAAGCGGCGGCTGCAGCGATGCGATCGGTGCTGTCGAAACTGCTGGCACGGGTGGTCGCGGGGCTCGCTGCGACTGGCAGTTGAAACTCTTGCTCGAACACGTGGCAGGACTGGAAGGGATTTGGGGCAGCAGCCCACGGCACCGCGGCAGGTGCGGGCCAAGGGCGGGTTTCCTTAACGTGCGGAGCCCACTCCTTCGGGACGGATTTAATCGCTGCTGCCTGCTTCAGAGAGTCAGCCCAACCCCACTGCTTGGCGGCCATGGCTTCGATAAATAACTTTAAGATTTATGGATTCTACGATAAGAAATCGGTCAGGAAACTGAAGGTAGTAGAGAACTGGTCTGCTGCGTACTAATTGGCGACGCTGATATATAACTCGAGGTGTTCGAGACGAAGGGCGGCTAAGCTGGTTTCGATCTGCTTGTGTTAGCGTGCTGCTGGTCAGTGGAACGCGTTATCAGGTGAAGGTGTTTTGCACGGAAGAGTAAATGCTTTTGTGGGCTTCGTGATCAGCGGCGATGTTTGTGCTGCTGCTGTTCGATGGATTTCAAATGTGCGTTTAGGGTTCAGATATGTACTTGTGGTGCAAGGCAAACTGTGCGGTCCTGCACTTGCACTTGCAACTGCATGGCATTTCCTCCTGGCTGGGGCCTAGGGAGCACACCACCACCCCAGTGACCCACCAACCAGGAGATCCATACATCCCATCCCATGGTCTTCGCCAGTCTGCTTTCGCCAGTCTGTCGCCCTGGTGCCTCCTGGTCGTGTGTCATACTCCCCTCCGATCTCCCATGCACCCCATGGCGACTCGTGCACCACTGCGCCTCGGCAAAGCTTTCTTCGCAACAGTCCACACCTTTCGCCAATCTTTTCGCCGCCAAACCAGGCGGTCCGAAACAACATGGGGCCCCTGGCCCGGAGAAAACGCAACCTGCGTTGCATGTGGGAACCCGAGACGCGCGTACGGAGGGGTAACCTGATTCGGCTCCTGATTGGTTGGATGCCAGGTCATATTAATTTCCTATCAGGCTCTTCCTCGAGCCCCCATACAGCCTTGCTACACACTCTCAGGCTCCAATCAGCGGCAGCTGGTTCGCGTTCCGCCATCTGCACGCAGATGGCTGGAGCGAGTTGACGCATGTTGCGCCAGGATTCCTTAGCACGGGGCGAGAAATTTGTCGTTTGGTCAGGGGAAAGAGTTCCCACTCGCTCCCATTTCCCACCTGAAGCCAGGTGCGGCGATGACGACGGAGTCGGCGACATGTTTCGCGAAATCACCCTTTGTATGGAGGCCCCGTAACCAGCGGTCCCTTCAATCAGAGACTTGGTATGGTTTTTGATTCGTTTCGCAGCGCAGCTCGCCAGCAAAACATTTTGTGTCCACTCTGCCAGGTTTTCGACAGCCCGATTGACTCCTGCCCAATCCACACTCCATTCCTCCAGCAATGCTCCGTTCCAGGTGAATCGAAACCATGGCTCCACTGGCATCTGCTCCAGCAGAGAGCTTCGCTAACCCGATAAGCGTTGTCCTGTGACCAATCAAATATGGCAAGTCTCTATGCCCTTGATCTGCTCTGCGCTATATATCCTTCTAATCAGCACTGCCATACACATAACAGACTTCTATATCCTGCAATCATCTTTGCTTCTGGTGCATCTTTCAGCTTTTTGGTAGAGTTGATATGGAGGCGTTTGAAACATCGGATTTCGCAATCTTGTGTAGGATCCACAACATTGTGTGGTAATTGGTAATACCGTACATGGATGACTAGGAGCACTGTGGTGGGCCTCACTTTGTCACGAAGTAGCACATGGGCTCGATACATGATACAACTTATTGATAATTATATCATAGAGCTCTAATGTCAAATAGCTCCTGTGAGCTTGGTAAGGATGGCAAGCACCGCCACTCCAATCATGATATACAGGAAGTAGTTGGTCTGCAGCGGGCGGTCGGGACTGCCGCCCAGCCCGATGTATTCGTCTCGTAGCTTCTTCTTCATGGCACTCGACATCTCCGTCTGGGTCTGGAGGGGTGCAAAGGGGTGGGAAGGAGTGGGGGTGCAAGGGAGTGGGAGGGAGTGAGGTGCAAGGGAGTGGGAGGGAGTGAGGTGCAAGGGAGTGGGAGGGAGTGAGGTGCAAGGGAGTGGGAGGGAGCGAGGTGCAAGGGAGTAGGAGGGAGTGAGGTGCAAGGGAGTGGGAGGGAGTGAGGTGCAAGGGAGTGGGAGGGAGTGAGGTGCAAGGGAGTGGGAGGGAGTGACGTGCAAGGGAGTGGGAGGGAGTGAGGTGCAAGGGAGTGGGAGGGAGTGAGGTGCAAGGGAGTGGGAGGGAGTGACGTGCGAGAGAGTGGGAGAAGGCGAAAGGGAGTGGGAGAAGGTGGTAGAGTGAGAACGGGGAGTGCAGTGCAAGTCCAGCGAGATGAGGAGCTCACAACTTCTGCACGTGCCCTTCCTCCCAAAACTCTACCCTCCTCCCTCCCGTTCCCTCTCCCCCAAGCCACTCACATTCCTGGACGGGAATTTAGCTGCCACCAACTTCGCATGCTCTGCGCCCTTCCCCCCCTGAGTCACCCTTGAAGAGGGTCAAACTTGGCTCCCAGCCCTCATTCCATCTACCCTGTCTCTCCCAACCACACTACCCTCTACCATCCCAACCACACTACCCTCTACCATCCCAACCACACTACCCTCTACCATCCCAACCGTGCACATTCCCAGACGAGTATTCAGACATTTGAGAATTCTCAAAAGTCACTCCGGAATTCTCAAGAGAATTCTCAAAAGACATTCCCAGACGAGTATTCAGACACCACAAACTTCACGGGGCGAGGGCCCTCTGTCTCCAGAGTGACCCCCTATGGCGGGTCGAACTTGGCCCCCAGCTCGCTGATTGTCTTGTGCACCACTCACAATCCCTTCTCTCCTACCTCGGTACCCAACCACACTCCCCTCTACCCCTCCAAGCCACTCACATTCCCGGACGAGTATTCAGACGCCACAAACTTCACGGGGCGAGGGCCCTCCGAATCCAGGGTAACGCCCTGGGGAGGATCGAACTTGGCTCCCAGCTCGCTCAGTGCCTTGTGCGCCGCGGCATAGTCCTTGAAAAACGCCGCCTGGTCTGCTGCATACTTCTCTGCGTAGACCTGTTGTGGAAAGCGAGAAGAAGAGAGGGGGGCGAGCAAGAGGGGGGAACAAGGGTCGAACTTGGTTCCCAGCTCGCTGAGTGCCTTGTGCGCCGCGGCATAGTCTGCTTGGTCAGCTGCATACTTCTCTGCGTAGACCTGATGTGACAAGAGAGAGGATAAGAGAGAAAGGTGAGCAAGAGGGGGGGCATGGAAGGGTCAAAATTGCCCCCCAGCTCGCTCAGTGCCTTGTGCGCTGCGGCATAGTCTTTAAAGAATGCCGCCTGGTCTGCTGCGTACTTCTCTGCGTAGACCTGAGGAAGAGGGGGGCATCGAAAGATGTTTCTGGAACAAACAACTATGAATCAGGTAACTGAGACTGAAATATGGCATTGAAAAATGAATCAGGCAACAGTCCATGCAGCAACACAAGCACCATCAGATGTAACGCACTTTAAGGCCCGGGAACTTAGAGAGAGGAGCATCTTGTGCCACAGCATATGCACCCTTAAAGCCATGCATGCCACCAGGCACAGCTTAAAGTCCAGGCCCTCAACCCAAAGCACCTCAAAGCTCGACCACCCACTGTACCTTGAAGCCCGACCGCCCAGCGCACCTTAAAGCCCATCACACATGCGCACCTTAAAGCCCATCTCACATGCGCACCTTAAAGCCCATCTCACATGCGCACCTTAAAGCCCATCTCACATGCGCACCTTAAAGCCCATCTCACATGCGCACCTTAAAGCCCATCTCACATGCGCACCTTAAAGCCCATCTCACATGCGCACCTTAAAGCCCGGGTCCTCGAAGAGAACAGCATCCGTTGGCAGCACCAGCAGATCCTCGTCCTGCTTGGCCTTCACGTCCTGATGGGCGCCAGGTGATAAGGTGGTGGGGATGAGATGATAAGGTGGAGAGCATGATAAGGCAATGAGGCGGGTGGGCCATCAGTGGGGGCAGCACCAGCAGGTCCTCGTCCTGCTTGGCCTTCACGTCCTGATGAGGCATGGGGGTATGTGATGAGACATGGGGGTATGTCACGGAACACAATGCCGTGATGTGGTGGCATGAGATGGGGACAGGGTTGGGATTGGGGTGGGATAGGGGTGGGGTGCCTGAGGTGCCTCCTGGTGCGAACGCAATGGTGCAAACAGCTGCAACGGGATGCAGAGCGGTGAAGAGCACTGCAGAGCGGTGGAGAGCAGTACTCACGCACCTTAATGTTGGAGTTATCGAACTTGAGCCGTTGCACGGTCCACGAGGAGCCTCCTGGCCGACCCACAGTAATACACACGACTGCCGCAGGATCCAGAGCGGTGTAGAGCGGTTCTACGCACCTTGAAGTACGAGTTGTCAAACTTGAGCCACTGCACGGTCCATGAGCAGCCTCCAGGGCGACCCGGGCCATCTTTCTGGTAAGATGGAGCAGGGCAGGGGGGAATGGAGGGCGAAGGGAGAAAGAGTTAGGAGTGGGAGGGAGTGGGAGGGCATGAGGCACTGCACGGTCCATGAAGGAGCCTCCAGGGCGATCCGGTCCGTCTCTCTGCAAGGGATTGGGCTCAGCGAGAGAGGAGAGAAGGGGGTGGAGTGGAGGAGAGTGGTGAGAGAGGAGAGAAGGGGGTGGAGTGGAGGAGAGTGGTGAGAGAGGAGAGAAGGGGGTGGAGTGGAGGAGAGTGGTGAGAGAGGAAGCAGGAGGAATCAGAGAGTGAGGCGGTGATGGAAAGGAGAAGCGAAACAGAAAGAGGAGGCAACAGAGGCAAGTAGCAAAGTTGAAACAGAGAAGAGAAAATGAGAGATTGAGAGATGCGGCAAGGGAAGGGGCAAGGGAACCTCAAAGGATACACCGTGTCACGGTCGAGGTGTCACGGTTGAGGTGTCACTGCGTACCTGGTAAATTCAAATCTCTTGCCCCTAGACTTTGCAGGGAGTTTTTGAGAATTCTCAAAAGCTCTCTCGCCCCTAGACTTATGTTATTTTTGAGACATGTCACGTACTTGGTAAAATTCATATAACCTATCTACACGTGTCACGGCCGTGGTGTCACTGCATACCTGGTAAATTCAAGTCCCGTTAGGTGGAGAATGAGATGGAGCCACTAGACTTAGGTGGACCCGTTGTTAACCCGCGTACCACTCCTTTCATGCTTCACAATCTCGGAGCACCACACAACATCGCACTGCACAGCACTGGACCGCACTGCACCGTGCCATGGTCTCACTCACCGTGTATTTGGTGGATTCCTTGCCCCAGCCGCTGCGATCTGCGTGGGCTCTCCCCAGCGTGTGCGCTCCTGACAGCGCCACTATCTCCTGTTGTGTTGGGAGAGCGCAGCGCAGGCAAGCACACAGGCAGGCACACACACTTGTTGAGGCACCTCACAAACATGTAGGCATGGGCTCTCCCCAGCGTGTGCGCTCCTGACAGGGCCACTATCTCCTGTTGTGTTTCCCGCGTGCAGACAGGCAGGCACACACACACAGGCAGGCACACACACACAGGCAGGCACACACACACAGGCAGGCACACACACAGGCAGGCACACACACAGGCAGGCACACACACAGGCAGGCACACACACAGGCAGGCACACACACAGGCAGGCACACACACACAGGCAGGCACACACACACAGGCAGGCACACACACACAGGCAGGCACACACACAGGCAGGCACACACAGGCAGACACACACAGGCAGGCACAAACACAGGCAGGCACACACACAGGCAGGCACACACACAGGCAGGCACACACACAGGCAGGCACACACACAGGCAGGCACACACACAGGCAGGCACACACACAGGCAGGCACACACAGGCAGGGGCACACACAGGCAGGCACACACAGGCAGGCACACACAGGCAGGCACACACATACTACGGCAATTGAACCCTTTCTAACTTTTCCAAATTACACAATAGCGACCGCATCACACGCCCAACCACGTCTCTCTTTAACACAAACCCCCCTGCCCAACCACGTCACTCTTTAACACAAACCCCCCTGCCCAACCACGTCTCTCTTTAACACAAACCCCCCTGCCCAACAACGTCTCTCTTTCACACAGACCTCCCTGCTCCTCGCACCACTTGTCCCACTGCATTGCCCCCTCGCCCCACCTGCCCCTGCCCCACCTGCACTTGCCGCAATCCCCACCCTCACCTGGTCGTTAAGCCCCATGCGGTAAAACACCTTGCGCAGATGATCCGCTGGGGAGGGTTACTAATAAGGCAAAGTGGTTACGGTGATAACAGCGACAGTGCTGTCGTCACCTGCCCCCTGCCTCATGCCCCACCTGCCCCCTGCCTCATGCCCCACCTGCCCCCTGCCTCATGCCCCACCTGCCCCCTGCCTCATGCCCCACCTGCTCGCTGCCTCATGCCCCACCTGCTCGCTGCCTCATGCCCCACCTGCTCGCTGCCTCATGCCCCACCTGCCCCCTGCCTCATGCCCCACCTGCCCCCTGCCTCATGCCCCACCTGCCCCCTGCCTCATGCCCCACCTGCTCGCTGCCTCATGCCCCACCTGCTCGCTGCCTCATGCCCCACCTGCTCGCTGCCTCATGCCCCACCTGCTCGCTGCTTCACCTGGTCATCGAGTCCCATGCGGTAAAACTTCTTGCGCAGATGATCCGCTGGTGGTGATACCGGTGTTAGCGGCAGTAACAACTGTAGCGGCATTAGCAGTGGTAACAGTGTGATTGAGTGCACACAGTGCTCTCCTCACCTGGTCGTTGAGACCCATGCGGTAAAACACCTTGCGCAGGTGATCCGCTGGGGAGGGGGGACTCGCATCTGACGGTGGGGAGGACCGGCAGAGGATCGGGACAAGGCAGACGATGGGGGAGTTGGGGAGGAGTAGATGGGGGAGTAGATGGGGGAGGAAGGGGAGGAAGGGGAGGAAGGGGAGGAAGGGGAGGAAGGGGAGGAAGGGGAGGAGGGGGAGGAGGGGGAGGAAGGGGAGGAAGGGGAGGAAGGGGAGGAGGGGGAGGAGGGGGAGGAGGGGGAGGAAGGGGAGGAAGGGGAGGAGGGGGAGGAAGGGGAGGAGGGGGAGGAGGGGGAGGAGGGGGAGGAAGGGGAGGAAGGGGAGGAGGGGGAGGAGGGGGAGGAGGGGGAGGAAGGGGAGGAGGGGGAGGAAGGGGAGGAAGGGGAGGAAGGGGAGGAGGGGGAGGAAGGGGAGGAAGGGGAGGAGGGGGAGGAAGGGGAGGAGGGGGAGGAAGGGGAGGAAGGGGAGGAAGGGGAGGAGGGGGAGGAGGGGGAGGAAGGGGAGGAAGGGGAGGAAGGGGAGGAGGGGGAGGAAGGGGAGGAAGGGGAGGAAGGGGAGGAAGGGGAGGAAGGGGAGGAAGGGGAGGAGGGGGAGGAAGGGGAGGAAGGGGAGGAAGGGGAGGAGGGGGAGGAGGGGGAGGAAGGGGAGGAAGGGGAGGAAGGGGAGGAGGGGGAGGAAGGGGAGGAAGGGGAGGAAGGGGAGGAAGGGGAGGAGGGGGAGGAAGGGGAGGAGGGGGAGGAGGGGGAGGAAGGGGAGGAAGGGGAGGAAGGGGAGGAAGGGGAGGAAGGGGAGGAAGGGGAGGAAGGGGAGGAAGGGGAGGAAGGGGAGGAAGGGGAGGAAGGGGAGGAGGGGGAGGAAGGGGAGGAAGGGGAGGAGAAGGAAAACAGGCTAACTGCATTGCATCTTGAAAATGTTACTAACTAACTGCATTGCTTTTGTAAACCCCTTATGTCTTTCTATTTTTTTGTGATTACATACCTCCAAGTTCTGTTCCAATCACCTAACGGGTTCTGTTGGAAGCACCTGGAGGGTTCTGTTGAAATCACATGGCAGGTTGCCTTCAGGTGTGCAGTCCTCGGGTCCGGTAGAATCCACTCGGCCGTACCTCATGGGGATGACCGGCCCACCTGCGAACTGGTGTTTAGTGGGATGGGGTTGGGTTGGGTTAAGTTGGGTTGGGGTGGGTTGGGTTGGGTTGGGTTGGGGTGGGTTGGGTTTGGTTGGGTTGAATGACGCACGTATAATGCACGCATCTCCCCGTGACCCATTCACCTGCATCACACACGGCACTGCACGGGCTCCTGCCAGTCTTGCGGTGAGGCATTACATACCGCACAGAAAACAAGTCCCCCAGGCCTGCTCCCACTCACCTCCACGGCTGTAGCGCTGGCGAGTTGGAACAGGTCGGCCCAGCTGACGGCAGGGAAGGCGTCCTTGACCGGCTGTAGCAGCGCGATGGCCCCAGCCAGCCCCTTGTTGGCGCCGTGGTCGATCTCGGGGCGGAAGCGAATGCTGCCGTTGGCGCCGCCCTGCTTTGGCCACTCGCCCACAGACTTGTCGAACGTGCCCGCATCGTGCCAGCCCAGGCGGATCTGTAGGGAGGCGAGGGGGGAGGAGAGGAGGAAGGAGAGGAGGGGGCGGGGAAGAGAGGCAGGGTAATGAGCAGCAAGGGGAATGGGGCGAGTCCTAGGGGACCAGGCTTCATGCAGAGGGGGGAAGGTGGCATGAGAGAGGGCTGTAGCATCGCCATGGCCCCCGCGATGGCCCCCGCGATGGCCCCCGCTATGGCGAATCTGTTGGGAGGGAATGTTGGAGGGAGCGGAGGAGTGAGGATCGGAGTTGATTCTTCACTCGTGTCTGATTCCTCTGAATCTAAGCGTCAGACAAAAAGGAGATTCACCTGACAGATTTACCTGAGCCGTTCTGACAGTCGTACAACCAAATTCGGTAACCGATTCAGTAATAATTTGGTGCTAAGTTTGGTATTGAACTCCGTACTGGATTCGCCACTTCAAACGGTAATGTGAAATGAAAAGGTAACTTGCAACCGTAACTTAAACCGGCAACTTGAAACGGTAACTGAAAACGGCAACGTACGAGAATAGGGTTGCACGACTTGCTCGTGATGATGTCCTTAATCGCCTCGCGCGCTCCGCGCAGCTGCGCCACGTCAGCAGACGCGAACACGTGGCCGGGGCGCACGGAGGTTGCTCGCGGCTTGCGGCCCGTTGCTGCCCGCAGCGCTTGTCTCTGTAATGGCGCAACGTGAACGCGTAAAATAGAAAAGGGAATAGAAGGGGGAGGGGGGCGGGGGGGGGGGGAGGAAGGGGAGGGGGAAAGGGGAAGGGGGAATAAGGGGAGGTGGGGACGGAGCGTGAAGAGCGATGGAAAGGGGAAAGAAGGGGGGAGAGCAACAGGTACTTTCTTACGCATCAAAATTTGTAGAAAACAAACGGAGAGTATTCGATGCATAAGAAAAGCGAAGGACTAGGAGGGAGGTTTCAGGATCCTGGAGAAATATTTCCGAGAAATGTCACTTTAATATTGATCGGATATCTTCGACAGCATTTTCATACACGGGGACGGCAGCGGAAAGTGATTCAATCACTTACGTCAACGGAAAGTGATTCAATCACGTACGTCAACGGGCCGCGATGGGAGAAAGTCGCTCGTAAGGGCGGCGGAGGCGCGTCTGGAGACACCAGCAGAGGATGCGGTGAGGGAACACGTGGCGGGCTGCCCGCATCTCGCGGCGGAAGGCCCCGCTAGGCGCGCGGAGGCAGCGGAAGGAGCGGCGAGGGTTGCGGACGTCATGGCGGAAGAAAGTATTCGTGAAGAAGCGTGAAAGAAAGTATCGGAGGGCAAGAAAGTTGCGCTCGGCACCGCAAGCTAGGTTGGTTGTGCTTTGTGTATTTGAAGATGTGATGGGGGTGCAATTTATGCTCGTGCTAGCTGTCAATCTCATCCAGCCGTTATTGATCTCGTAGAACCGTTCTTCCCCGCAATAAAAGTTAACCGCCTCGCAGAGGGCATGCAGTAGAGACGCTGATGCTGGCTCGGGAATATCGAGGTTTGGTTGGGTGGTAAGAGGAGATCGATGTTGACGTGGCAAATGTAACCTCTGACGTGGCGAACGACACGATTCATGACAACAATTCGCCACGATGCTTCCCAGATCTTCGAGGAGGGCGAAAGCGGGATCTCCATTGGCAGTACACCGCGCTAACTTAATAAGTTAATAGTATTCTCGCAAATACAAAAGTAATAACCAAAGATGCCACAACAACGTGCAAGCTTTGCTTGTTTTGTCATCTCAGGCATACGTTCAAGCATAGATCCAGCAAGGCAGCACGATTATAAATTATATTCGCATCTTTCAGCTGAGTGCTGTGTTGATAATGGCACCCTTGTCACTGTGTTGTTGCCCTCTTACTCATCCTCTTCATCCTCCTCGTCCTCCTCTCCGTCGTCTGACTCATCCTCCTCTTCCTCCTCATCCTCCTCCCCCTCACTCTCCTCTTCTTCCTCACTCTCATCCTCAAACTCCACCACACTACCACCTCCATCATCACTCTCCTCCTCCTCCCGACTCTCCAGACTCTCCACAATCCCCTCTTCCACCCTCTCACTCATTCCCCTCACACCTGATGCCGAACCTGGCCTCTGCCTGACTTGTGCACTAGACACACCTGAGCCTCTAACAGCCCCTCCAAGTGCCCCTCCAGGTGCCCATGCAGGGGCGGCATCAAAAGCAGCGCCGCGTGCACCACTGAAGCCACTTCCCGTCCAGACCGCCCCACTCCCACAAGACATGGACACGCCGGGCATGCCCTGCCACTCCCCATCCCTGCCCCCTCCCCCATCCCTCCCCGTTCTGCTCCCGCACTCCCTCCCTCCGCCCCCTCCTGCCCCTGCCCACCTGGAAACCATCGGTCTGCCCAGACCTAACCCCATGCCAGACACAGGGCCAGGCCCAGAGCCTATCTCCGCCCCTAGTCCTTCCTTCCAGGGGGGAAGTGGCGCCAACTCGTCCCAATTGTCATCCCATCTGTCATCCTGTCTGTCATCCCGTCTGTCATCCCGTCTGTCATCCCGTCTGTCATCCTGTCTGTCATCCCGTCTGTCATCCCGTCTGTCATCCCGTCTGTCATCCCGTCTGTCATCCCGTCTGTCATCCCGTCTGTCATCCCGTCTGTCATCCCGTCTGTCATCCCGTCTGTCATCCCATCTGTCATCCTGTCTGTCATCCCGTCTGTCATCCCGTCTGTCATCCCGTCTGTCATCCCGTCTGTCATCCCATCTGTCATCCCGCCTGCCACCCCCCTTCTCATACATCATCCTCGTCGTTGTACTCACCACCTCCGTCCCGCCCTCTTCCTCGTGCTCGTCCAGTGAGCGCATGGCCGGGCGGCGTCGATTGGAGGTACTGTGCCGCCTCAGGAGCGACGTGCCAGCTGCAGTATACCTCCCTGCCAGCCCTGTGCCTCTCAGCCCGCCCTCTGCTTGGAATCCCCCTCCCCCTCCCCCTCCACCTCCTCCTGCTACTCTTCCAGCCCCTCCCCTTTCTGTCCCACCCCCTGCTGCTCTGGCATCATCCTCATCTGACCACTCCTCCCCATCGGAATCTCCCGCGTTGCTTCCACCATTACCAATACCACCACCACTCACCCCACTGCTTCTTCTCCTGTCATCTCCACCATACCCTCCCACCCCCCCTGCCTCCCTTCCATGCAGCCCCGCACCCCCCCTTTCCTGGAAGGACCCTGTGCTCGCCCATCTGCCATTGTATCCCCTCCTATGGTACTTGTCATGTCCTCCGAGCCTCCCCCCATACCTCTCCCCCAGCATCTCCCCGAACCTCTCCCCGAGCCTCTCCCCATGCTCCTCCACACAGTCCTCCCCCCACTCCTCCTGCTCCTCCAAGTCTCTCAGCCTCTCCCCACCAAACCTAGCGCTCTCCCCGAACCTGTTGCGGCTGCCTCGGCGGCGCAGGCTCCGGTCCGGAGCTGTCTGGGGGCGTTCATCTTGTCTGCCATACTCCCACTGTGAGTGGATACCCACTTGCTCCTCTGAAGCTGGACCAGCAGCTGGATACCCACCGTCCCCTTCCCAGGGAAGTACCCCTGGATTTTGCTGGGGGTAATTACCCGCGTTGTGTGAATGCACGGGTAAAACTGCCCGGTTGTCGACGGAAGAAGGGTGGTCGGGGGAGTCCCAGGGATCGGGGACGAGGTCTCTAGGGAGAGGCGACTTCTTGGCATGTGGCAGGGCGTGTAGGCGATCGAAGCGCGGGCTGTTTGCTGCTATGCGCGGGCTTGCTGCTACATGCGGGCTGAGCAAGCTCGGAAGGCTGGGCAGCACACGTGGGCTCTGAAGGTGGTTCCATCGCCCACTGCTGCTCCTTCCTGCACCAGAAGCAGCAAATGACGCGGATGCAGAACCTGGGGTAAGGCGAGAGAGTGAGTCGGGACCTAGATCAGAGTCAGGTTCTGTCAGGTGGATTCTCAGGCGGGGACCTGGGAGGCGGGCAGGCCGGTCGCGTGTGCCAGCGGGAGGGGAGGAGTGAGGGGCAGTGCTGGGTCGGGATGAGAGTGAAGGAGGGACTGGGCCTTCTGGGTTATCTGCAGTGGGGGATGGAGGGGAATGAGGGGAAGGGGGGTTTGGAGGGGTGGAAGTGGAGAAGCGGCTGTGGGGGGAAACGGGGAGGAGAGAGGGCGCAGCAGCAGGCGGGCGGGAGGGAGGGGAGGGGCGGCGAGGGGAGGGCAGGGGGAAGCGGGGGGACCTGAGGGGGAAGTGGTTGGTGTGGTGGGGGAGGGCGTGGGGGGAGCGGAGGGGGAAGGGTTGGCTCATGGCAAATGCGGATGGCAGAGCAGAGCTGTTCCAGCTGTCATGGGTCGAAGCAGCGACAGAGACAGAGGAAGAGGCGGAGGGGCGGGAGGCGGAGGGGCGGGAGGCGAAGGGGTTGGGGGGGTTGAAAGGTTGACTCATGGCAAACGCGGGTGGCAGAGCAGAGCTGTTCCAACTATCATGGGTTGAAGCAGCGGCAGAGACGACAGAGGGAGAGGCAGAGGGGCGGGAGGCGGAGGGGCGGGAGGCGGATTGGTTGGTGTGGTGGGGGAGGGCGTGGGGGGAGCGGAGAGCTAATGGGGGGAAGGGTTGGCTCATGGCAAATGCGGAGGGAAGAGCAGAGCTGTTCCAGCTGTCATGGGTTGAAGCAGAGGCAGAGGCAGAGGGGCGGGAGGCGAAGGGGTTGGGGGGGTTGAAAGGCTGGCTCATAGCAAATGCGGGGGGGAGAGCAGAGCTGTTCCAGCTGTCATGGGTTGACGCAGCAGCAGCGGCAGAGGGGCGGGAGGCGAAGGGGTTGGGGGGGTTTCGGTGATGGGGTGCAGGCGCTTGGGAGGCGGAGCGGGGGGAGAGCGCGTGTTTCTTCCGATAGTGCAGAGCAGATGCATGGTAAGCAGAGGCGGAATGGGTGGAAGCAGGGACGGCGGAGAGAGGGAGCGGGGCCGCATTCCATGAATCATGCGCCCTTGCAGCAGAGGACGAGGAGGAGGAGGAGGCAGAAGAAGGGCGGGCAGGGGAGGGGCGCGCATGGCCCCGGCGTCTGCCTCTGCTTAACAGGCTCTGACCAGTGAATGCAGTGAGGGGGGGGTTGACAGCACTGAAAGCACCTCCCCCAGACGCATCCTGCTCATTGTCCATGTTCATGAGAACAAGCCTTTCTTCCTGCCCCTCCTCTCCCTCTCCCTCTCCCTCTCCCTCTCCCTCCTCTTCCTCCTCTTCCTCTTCCTCCTCCTCAGCCACCCACACATCTGCTCGCCCCTGCGGACTGGTATCATCTGCATCACACACTCCCACACCCGCTCCTCTCCTGCTCCACCCCACACTCCCTCGCTCCCACTCCTCCTGTTCTTCCCACTCCTGCTGCTGTGGCTGCTGCTGCCACGGCTGCTGCTGCTCCTGGTGTGATACCGCCTCACCCCACGGCAGTTGAACCTGCTCTAGTTCCACCTGTTCCAGTTCTACCTGCTCCCAACCTACCTGCCCCTGATCCACCTCCCCCACATGCTGCCAGCTCTCAGCAGTGAACGGCCGGTGCGGCATCTCCAAGGAAGCAGACGATCGATGCCGCCCAAGCCGACTCCTCTGGCCCTTCTCACCCCTGCCACCACCCCCACTGCTGCTGTTTCTTGGAAACTTCTCCCAACCAGCTTTATCACAATCAACACCCATCCTATCCACATCACCACCACCACCATCACCACCACAAACCCCAACCTCTATCCCCACGCTTCCCCTGCCTCCCACCCCTGAAAGCACCGCTACAGATGCACTCCTGCCATGCTGTGCCGCCCGCAGGCCGCACTTCGCGACACTGTTCATGAAGGCCGGGCGGCGCGCTCCCAGCTCGCTGAGGAAATCGCGGGCTTCTGACGCCGCCCGGCGGTGGCGGGAGTTGGAAGATAGTGGGCTCTGGGCTGAGGCCGGGCGGCGAAGAGAGGATAGGGGGAGAGAATTGGGAGGAGCTACTTTTGCTGCTGCCGATGCCGCTGCTGCTGCTGCTGCTGAATCCCCCGTCTCTGTCCCCCTTTCAACGCCTTTCCCGTTTCCTGTGTCAATAAAAGAGCCTCCGTTGCTGTTGGTTCCTGCTGCTGCTGTGTCCTTTGGTGCTGCTTCAGCCGCTGAATTCCCTTTGCCATTTGTCTCTAAACCCGTGGTTTCACCTGACTCGCCACCTGAAACAGGAGCACCATCCATAGCAGAGCCTGAAACAGCTCCATCTGATACAAAAGCACCTGCACTAGCAGTGGATGCAGAACCTGAAGTGCCAGCACCTGAATCGGTACCTGAGGAAGCACCTGCAGCAGCACCTGATGCAGCACCTGATGCAGCACCCAAGACAGCAACAGCACCTGAAGACGCTCCTGCAGACACTCTAAGGCCGGCAGCAGGGCTGTCAACCGAAATATCCATCTCTCCTGGTGAGGGGGTCAGGGGGGGCGACAGCCGAGCAGTTGTAGCACTTGGGGCGGCTGTACCAGCAGAGGCAGCTGCAGCATCCCGGCCAGCTACTGCCAAGCCATCGCTAGCAGTTCCCCCGGGCTCTTCATCAGGACACTTTCCCCTTGTGCCTGAGGAGGGACTGCTGGTTGAGTGGTGGAGCAGGTGATGCAAGAGGTGGGGCAGGGGAGGGATGGAGTCTTCCTCCTCCGCTGCACCGGCTGCATCATCAGCAGAGGAAGTGTGCGGGATGATGCCCCAGGGCTTTCGAGTCTGTAACGACGACAGGGAGGACGAGAGAAACGCTTGCTCCTTAGCCGATACCCCCGCTCCTTCTCCTGCAGCTGCTGCTGCTGCTGCTTCCCCTCCGCCTCCTCCTGTGAGAGAGGTTGTTTCCCGGGATGTGGGAGTTGAGGGCAGGGAGAACGCTGTGATACCAGGGCCGGTATCACCACTGTTCCCAGCCCTCCCACACCCCACACGAGAGTGATTGTCTCGCGACTGGCGAGACTGCTGCTCCTGCTGCTTCTGCCGCTGCTGCTGCTGCTGCTGCTGCTGCTGCGCATAATGCTGCTGGTAATGATGCTGCTGCGAGAGAGCAGCAATGGGCATACCCGTTGGCGACAGCGGCAGCAACGAAGCCTCGTCCTCCTCCCCACTGCCCACTCCCCCACGCCCATCCAGCAGACCCGGTTCGTACACACCCGAATCCACCATACAAGTATCAGGCAGTAACTCAACCCTCGGAGGGCTGAACCGCCCCTTGAGAAACTCCTTGAAGCTGCCCTCGCGGGACCTGCCCCTGCCAGTGCCCGATCCTGATAATGCTCTGCCAGAGCCCGTTTTTGCCAATGCTCTGCCAAGGGTCTGAGAATTACCCGAACCTCCTGAACCTTGCCTCCCTTCCTCCCTTGCTCCTCTTCCTCCTTCCATTCCTCCTTCCCCTCCTCCTTCTCCTCCCCTTGCTCCCGTTTCTCCTCCTTTCCTCCGCCCCCATATGCCCCAGAACTTCCGGCCCGCGCCCTGCCTCTGCGCGTCCGCACTCCCATCCGCCTCTTGGCTAAGCGTCGTACTTATAGGGTTACTGTAACTTATAGACTTGGTCATCAGAACAGGGCTGCTACCTCCTTCCACGCCTTTCCCCTCCCTACTTCCCACACTCCCCCTTCTCCCATCCTGCTCTTGGCTAAGAGTCTTACTTACAGAAATATTGTAGCTTACGGATTTTGTTATGATCAGTGCAGAACTAAAAGCACCTCCTACGCCTTTCCCCTCCCCACTCCCCACACTCCCTCTTCCGCCTTCTCCCCTTTCCCCCAGATCCGACCCGCCCCCCTGCTCCTCTGCGTCTCCTTGTGCCAGCACACAATGCTCCGCTATAGAGTGCTCCACTATGGATGGAAAGGTGCTTAGGGAAGCGCTTTTTCTATGCCTGCGGCCCGCTGGGACCAGTTTGGAAGGGCCAAAAGGGGCGAAAGTGCTGCTTCTTCCAAACGCGCTGCCTCCCCACCCTGCCTTCTTCCGCTGCCCTTTGTCAAATCCTGCTACTGCGCATTCTTCCTCTCCTCCTCCTGCTGCTGCTGCACCTGCCGTTGGCGTTGCTGGTGATTGAAGCACATTTCTGCTGCAATTTCTCCCGCTGCCCTCGCCCTCGCACTCACCGTCTCTCTCTCTTCCACACGCCTCGCTCCCCCTGGTTCTTCCAAAATCAAGCAGGCGAATAGAGTCCGCGGAGCGAGGGTGGGGGGAAGACTGGAGCGGGGAGGCGGGGCGCGGCGGGCGCGAGTGCGCGAACGGCGAGGGGAGCGGATGGGCAGCGGGCGAGGGGGGTGGGTAGGCGGAAGGAGAGGGGAGGGGGTGGGCGGAGGGTGAGGGGAGAGGATGGGCGGAGGGCGAGGGGAGGGCGTGGGCGGACGGCGAGGGGAGAGCGTGGGCGGAATGCGAAGAGCGGCGTCCGGAGGAAGGGGAAGGGGATGAGTCAGCAGCCGCCGAACTGGGCGCGGGGCGAGGAGACGCGGAGGAAGAGGAGGGGGAGATGAAGACATGCGCGCGCGGAGGAGGGTTACCACCTTGGTGGACGAGGGGCGGCCTTGGGGAGAAGGAATTGCGCGCGGCCATGAGAGGGGCGAATAAAGGCGACACGAAATCAACAGATAACGATCTCCTGTGCGCTCGCTCCCTTCGTCCCGCTCCTGCCTCTCCTCCTATCCCTCCGCCTTCCCCTCCCCTGGTCCCAGGTTGAATTCTCACCCGCCGCCCCCCGCCCCCGCCTTCCCCCACAACCCCTCCGTTGATTCCCGCAGTTACCCCTCCCTCATCACTCACAAGTAGATCATCCTCCCCTCCCCCGCTCCCGCTTCCGCTCCCCAGCCCGCCCCTGCCCCCGCCCATGCTCGCTTTCAGACTAGACGACGTGCGGAACCCAAACGCGCCTAGTCCCGCCCACCGCAGCGGACTGAAAGGCATCCGCGGACTATTCGCGCAACTATTTGTCGCGCTTCCTGTCGCGCTCCCCGCGCCCCTGCTAGAGTGCGGGCTTCCGCATGGACTGAATCCGCTTCCGCCTGCGGCAGCGCGCGCGGGAATCGGCGGAAGAAACTTCGGGGAAAATGACTGGATGCGGGAGGGCCTTCCGCCCGCGCCCCCCCCGGGCAAGGGGCTGGCTTGCGGAGTGTCGTCGAGGCTGGTGGAAGCGGGAATGGCGAGCGGCGGAAGGGCGTTGGCGGAGAAAGATACACGGTCGGAAATTGCGGAGTGACACGTGTCACCGTTTGAGCGGTCGAAGCTTTCGGATCGGATAGGACTCAATGCGCGTCCTCTGCTGCGGCTTCTCCTCCAACTCCCAGTAGTACCCGCAGCGCTGCTTATTTCTTGGTTTCGCCCGTCCCTCCGACTCATTCCACTCAGTGCATCGTCCCCTGACGAGAATCCCCCAGTGTCACTAAGACCTGCTCCTGACGCACCTGCACCCACTGTTCCTCCCTCCCCCTCCCCCTCACCGCCTCCTCCGCTCACCGAAAACGCCCTGGGCCCGAACCTGAACCGGCTCGGGCTTTTCAGGTCCAAACCTGAGGCTTGGCCGAGGAACCAAAAAGGCTCGGATAAGCTACGGCTGCGAGAATGGCTGCCTTTGGCGCGCCTGCTCTTAGCGAATAACGCGGACGGCTGTAGGCCGTCCGGCGGCGCCAGCAAGCGCGGGCTGGGGGACGCCGACGACGCTGACGTGGCAGCCGCAGGACCGGCGAGAGAACCGGCTGCTGCCACGTCAGCGGATGAAAGGCGCGGGCTGGCGGCACTAGAGCCTACGTCCGACGCGTGATGAGTCCCGAGAGGGGAACTCGCGACAGACGTGGAGGCTTGGGAGAAGGAAAAGGGGGAGAGCGAGAGGAACGCCATTGATGACCGCGACCGACCGTGCCTGGACGCGCGCTTCGGAGTTGGCGGCATTCCCAAGGGCACGCCCCCCCCCACCCCCCCCGCGGTTCTGCTGCTGCTCGCGGTGCTGCCACCGCAGCTCGGGCCCGCTTCTCGCGGGCTCGCTCCCACTTCTCGTCTTCTTCTTCCTCGACCAAGAAGGTTCGCAGCGGCTTCGATTGTCGATACCGACCTCTCTCCAGAAACCTCGGCCGCCTCCGCCGCCGCCGCCGCTGCGGCTTTCTCCTTTCGCAGCTCCTTATCCACAGCCGCAATCGCCAACGCCGCTGCCTCCGCAACCGTCACATGCGGCGCGGAACGACTGCCCTGAGCCGTTCGATCGAGCGAAGGCCCCCGTGACCCGAGCCCAGGCCGTAGATCTACCCCTAATGATCCCGAATGAAGTCCTGGAAACGCGGTACTAAATGGCGTGGCAGTGGCGTCAGCAGTGTCATCCGCATTGACAGCAGCAGTGGTAGTAGCAGCAGCAGCACTGATAGCAGCAGACGCTGAAAGCCGAGAAGACCCTTCCTTTGCGTCTACGCTAATGCTTCCCGAGCGCCGTCCCGGTGATTCGCCTTCGTCGGGCGAATCCCAAGATTCGGCGAGCAGGCTTTGCCCGAAAACCGGCAACGCGGCGACGGACGATGGGCCTTCGCCGGCCGAGACTGCGAGTCTCGCAGTCATGGCGAATGTGCAAATCGTAGGGCCCATTTTCGGCGGGCCTGCTACGTGAGGGTAGATTCTCGAGCCGCGATAGTAGCTACCCAGGTCATGATCATCGTCCATCAAATAAGTTAGTAGGCGCTCCGCTGATTAGGTTTCGCTTTGAGAAAAAATATTAGCCAGTGAAAACAGAGAGCTGTAGTGTATCATTCCAACCGCAAGTCTTTCTCAGACTCCCCAGCCTTTGCCGGACGGTGTCTTCCACATGAATCTTTCAGCGCATCGCTGAGGTTCAGAGTCTCACCAGTTCCCCCCCGATGACTGACGCGTGTCATGGGAATCGGTCTCATCTCATGAATAGCAGCATCCGTCTGACTGCTATTGAATGCAAAACTGGTGTGACTAGCGAAACAAACAGGTCAGTTGGGTTGGGAGGAGGGACGGGAGAAGTCGGGACCCGGGGGGGGGGGGGGGGATGACCGAAACGGGAGAGAGGAGAGGAGAACCCTTGGAAGTTGGAATTGGTTCGTTGGGTGAAAAAAGCGGGATGACATGCCCGAGGGGTGGTGGTGTTTGTTGGTTGGTTGGACGAGCTCTGCGGAGGAATCAATGGGGGATCGCCAACATCCATGGTGAAGCGAGGCGAGGCGAGGAAAGGTATGATTGGCGGTGAGGTAGGCCAATCATGAGCCCCATTCCATTCTGTTCAAACCCCGTTCGGATTATTTCTCGAAAGAATTTATATTTTTTTGCGTTGAGGGAAACACTATGGTTAGTGGAATACAAAAAATTGTGCTTAGCCCGTTTCAAGCGGAGATCTCGATAATACACTATTTCTTTTTCCATACCAGTCGTTCGTCAAGCGCGCGGCACCGAGCACCAACGCTCCCCAAAATTCAGGGCATGCCACAAACGGCAGTAAAAGCGGACAACTTCGCCCACTGGAGAAGCTATGACTGCTGCTGGTGGTTCCCTCAGGTGCAACAAAGCAAAATCTCGTCCAACGTCCGGGTACGGTGGGCAAATTGGATTTGTGCATTCCCTACACAACCAACGCATGGGCCGCCATAGAAGAATACCAAATATGCCTCAGGGTTTACATGACCATCTATTTACCATTAACACTATTGACAGTAGTACCATTATCCACTCCAAAAGCATCAACCCCGAGCCTTTTTTGGTAGCACACGTTCAGGTGTTCTTGTGCACTAGTTGCAAAGTCCTGTGTCTCGTTCTAAGCTGCATGGAATCTAAAGCAATTACAATTGAAGCCTATGGTTTTCCCAAAAACACCCAATGCATCAGTTACGGTACATGGAATAGCACATCACCTAGCACCCTCTCGCTCAGCAGCAGCTGCTTGAACATACCATGCACACCATACAATACAGTGACGACCACAACCAAAACCACTCAGGCACGGCTCTGCCCGCCCCACCACAACCACTGCTGCTCTGGCAGCACCTGAGAAAAGGCCTGCTGCTGCTCCTTTCGGTCATTTACCTGCTGCTGCTGCTGCTGCTGCTGCTGCTGCTGCTGCTGCTGAGAGTGATGCTGCTGTTGTTGCTGCCTGTAGTGTTGTTGTTGCTGCTGCTGATGTTGCTGTTGTTGTTGCTGTTGTTGCTGTTGTTGCTGTTGTTGTTGCTGTTGCTGTTGTTGTTGTTGCTGTTGCTGTTGTTGTTGTTGTTGCTGTTGCTGTTGTTGTTGTTGCTGATGCTGTTGTTGTTGTTGTTGCTGTTGCTGTTGCTGTTGTTGTTGTTGTTGTTGCTGTTGCTGCAGGAGCAGCATCTGGTGCAGGTCGCCCGGAGCGGCAGGGGGCTCTGCCTCAACGCCCGTGCAGCTCTCAAAGCTTCCCAGAAACACCGCTGCAGCCCTGCTTCCTCCAAAAGCCGCCTCAGCACCAGATCTTGGCCCTTGGACCGGCATTACAGCCGCCGCTGCTGCTGCTCCTGCTGCTGTTGGTGCTGGTGCTGGTGCTGATGCTGCTCGTAAGAGAGAATTAGCAGGAGCCACAGAGGCAGGAGACACATAGGCAGGAGCAACTGAAGGAGAAGCTACTAAGGGAGCAGCCATTAGCGGAGCAGATACTGACGGAGCAGCAGATGCTGCAGCAGCCGAGGGCTCATAGCCTGGTGCCAAGTCGCTGCCGCTGCTGCTGCACCGGCTGCCACAGCTGCCAGTGGTCTTCTTCTGACGCACAATCTCTCTGCCAGTCCGCCCCACGCCATGCCCGGCGCTGGCAAACGCATGGGGTGGTTCCTGTGATGGCACGTGCTGCTGCTGTTGATGCTGCCGCTGCTGCTGCTGCTGCTGCTACTCGCATTGGCCAAGCAGGTATTGCTGCTGGTTTAGTAGTTGCTGCTGCTCAGCTGGCCATAGCTGCTGCTGCTGCGGATGTTGTTGCTGCTGCTGCTGTTGCATGAAGGCCAGAAGAGCACTGTCAATAGCCACAGGAGCAGCAGCAGCAGCAACAGAACCAGAAGCAGGTCTCGCAATGCTAGCCTGAAACGCATCCGCATTAGCATTAGCAGCAGCAGCAGCAGCAGCAGCAGCAACAACAACACCACTGCCACCAGCACCACCAGCACATGGAAACGACAGGGTAGGGGACAGGCCAGGTACTGTGGCAGTTGTAGAAGGGGTGGAGAGGAAGGGAGATGGGAGGGATGGTAAGTACGGTGAAGGGAAGGGTGGAGTGAAGGTAGCAGTTTCTGAAGCTGCTGCGGGTGGTGTGGGTGTTGCCATTGGTGGTGCTGGTGTTGCTGTTCGTGCTGCTGAAGCGGCAGCAGTAGGAGAGGCAAGTGGAGGCGGTTGTACCGAAGACTGGGAGGGTATGTGGAGGGAGGAGAACCACAGGTTCGGAACGGCAGGTTTGGCCGACGCAGGTCCAGTGGTAGCAGGTTCGGTGACAGGTTCGGGCTTGGATAGAGAAAGGGGGTTTGTCACGGGAGGGTTCGATTGCAGCTGGTATGGCAGCAGGGAAGTTGGCTGAGAGAGGGCGAGGGGGGTGGGACGAGGGGAGGGGAGGGAAGAGACGTGATAGGTGGGGAGGGTAGGCAGAGAAGAGAGGGGGAGTTGGAGAGGGAGGGTAGAGTTATCAGCATGGCATGGGGTGGTATTCTCCAGGAACAGACCTAGCTGCTGCTGCTGCTGCTGCTGCTGCTGCTGCTGCTGCTGCTGTAGCTGAACCTTTTGCAGCTCCTGCCACTGTAGTATCTGCAGTTGCTGCTGCTGCTGCTGTTGTTGCTCTTGCTTCTGCTGTAGCTGTCGCTCTTGCTGCTGTTTCTGAAAATACTCCAACCCTGACTGCTCTGCCTGATGTCCCTGCTGCGTTTGCTCCTGAAGATTCACCTGCCCCTGTAGCTTCTGCAACAGCAGCTGCTGCTGCAGCCGAACCTGCTGCTCCAGCAGCAGCTGGCGCTGCTGTGTTTCCAATGCCTCAAGCTTCTGCTGCTGCTGCTGCGCCTGCTGTTGTTGTTGTTGGTGCTGCTGTTGCTGCAGTTGTTGCTCTTGTTGTTGCTGCTGCTGCTGCTGCTGCTGCTGCTGCTGCTGCTGCTGCTGCTGCTGCTGCTGCTGCTGCTGCTGCTGCTGCTGCTGCTGCTGCTGGTGGTGCTGCTGTTGCTGCTGCTGCTGCTGCACCATCAACTCGTGCTGCTCCACATGTTGCTTTTCAATGAAATCTCGCAGCAGCAGCAGCTCTCCCAAAATGCGGTTCTTCCTGCCACAACGGGAGGGCAAAGATGGGGAGATGGAGAATGGCGAGCGAGCAAAGCAGAGAGAGTTGAATGCAAAGAGCAGCAGAATGAGCGACACTGCTTGCTCCTCCTCCTGCAGCAGCAGCAGCAGCAGCAGCAGCTCTCCCAGATTGCGGTTCTTCCTGCCACAATGGGAGAGGAGAGAGAAGGATGGAGGAGCGAGAAAAGAGAAAGCGTGGAAGACGAGGGGAGTAAGGAAGAGGAAGGGAAGAAGGAAGATGGAGAAGGATGAGGCAGTAAGTCACATAGTAGTGAGTAAGTCACATAGTAGTGAGTAAGTCACATAGTAGTGAGTAAGTCACATAGTAGTGAGTAAGTCACATAGTAGTGAGTAAGTCACATAGTAGTGACTAAGTCACATAGTAGTGAGTAAGTCACATAGCAGTGAGTAAGTCACATAGTAGTCAGTAAGTCACATAGTACTGAGTAAGTCACAACATGCCAGCATTCAATCACTCACCCTTTGAAGATTTCTTTAATTTCCGGCTTTGACTCGTGCCCGCTTTCTCTCCCTCCTCCTCCTCCTCCTCCTCCTCGCCCTCCTCCCTGCCTTCCTCCCTGCGCCCCTCCTCCTCCAGACACCATTGGGTCTCCACCATACCCCACAGATATCCGGCTGTCTTCCCTCAAAGAGCCTGACCTTCTTCCTTCTCCTCCCACCCTGTCGCCGCCGCCCCCGCTTCCCCCTCCACTCTCCTCCTTTTCTCGCCCCCCTCCCTCCCTCCTCCGTTTCCTCTTCTCCTCTTCTCCTCCCCCGCCCTTCCCAGCCTCCTCCCGATCTCCCCCTCTCCCTTCCCCCCCCTCACTCCCCCCCTCTTGCAACTCGGCCCATTCTCTCGCCTCCCCCTTCCCCAGAAACAGCCACTCACACGCCTCCAGTGACAGGTGTCCGAACGTCATTGGCTCCTGCCCGCTCGCTGCCTTTTTCCCTTCCCTCGTGCTGCTGCCCGCACGCTTAGAACCAAGATCATAAGGAGGGCTTCCTCTGCCCGTTCCTCTGCCCGTTCCTCTGCCCGTTCCTCTGCCCGTTCCCCTGCCCGTGCTGCTGCTGCCGCCCGTTGTTCCGTCTCCGCTGCTCTTCCGAAAAGCTTTGCCTCCTGCCCCTCCCCCTCCTCCTGCCCCTTCCCCTCCCCCTCCCCCTCCTCCCTGCTCCCCCTGTTGCACTTGCGCCCAGAACTGTGGGTCAGGGGTGGCTGAAGATTGGTGCCATTTCCGGTGAATCTCCACGAATTTTCTGACCAGAATCGGAAAACACCCACGAAAAGGGAAAGGGGAGACGAAAACGAAGAGGGGAGAAGCGTGGAGAGGAGTAAGCGTGGAGAGGAGTAAGCATGGAGAGAAGATATCGGCTAGGCGAGAGGCGAGAGGCGAGAGGCGAGAGGCAGTGACAGCACAGCACACATTTTCAGAAAGATGTTTTGGCTGCCCCGGTTGAGTGCGGTGTGGCTCACTTTTTGAGGAAGATGAAGCGGTTGCAGCACGCCTTGTTGTCGCGCAGAGGCAGGCGCCCGCTCTTCTCTAACGCGCCCCACTGCTTCGTGCCCGCCCTCAGGGCATGGCGCAGCAACACCGCGTCCTCCTGTGCGGAAGAAGACAGGGGGGAAAGGGGTTGGGGGAAGGTTGGGGGAAGGTTAGGGGAGTGGGGGAGGGGGCAGAGCATCCCGCCCGCTCTTCTCCAGCGCGCTCCACTGCTTCGTGCTCGCGCGCAGCGCATGGCGCAGCAGCACCGCGTCCTCCTAGGGGAGAGGAGACGGGGGAGGGATGGAAGAGGGGAGAAAGAGAGTGGGAGAATGGTGGGGGAGGCGTTATGCGCGGGGTAGATCTAATGCGTTTCGTCGTCTCCTGCCTTTCGTCACGCCGCGCTTCTGCGCAACGCGCAAGCCGACTATTGCTGCTGACGGCAGCCTTCATGATTGAATCTCGCGGCGCCTCCTAGCTTGCGGCAATCGTTCTCCTGTTGTGGATCGACACGACACGACACGACACGACACGACATGACATGACATGACATGATGCAAAATCGTCCAGTTTTGAGGCGCCTCAAAACTCGACACCACTTGATGCAAAATCGTCTTCCGCGGAAACGATGGACGGCAGAACGATCTGGGGTAAGGCGGCGGAAGGGGGAGGGGAAGGTCCGCGGAAGGCTCGTTGTTGCGGCGTTGCGTTGTCGCCAAAGTCTATCAGCGCAGTGCACGGCGCAACAGCCCGCCCAACGGAGGTTCGCAGCCGCACGCGCGGGCGGGCGGAAGCGCGGGAGTCCTAAGGGGAGTACAGGCGGCGGGCGCGCAGGCGGGGACAGACGAGATTCACATCCGCGCGCTGCGGAAGCGCGGGAGCAAGTGCGGCCGAGTTAGTGACGGCGTTCTATCCGTCGGATTCAGACAGGCACTACCCACCGTTCGATTCTAACCCCTACGCGCCGCGTAGAACCATTGTGGATAGTCTTCCGCAGTGAATAATCGCCGATCTAAGGGTGCTGGGGAGATAGAATCTGCCTCCTCGACGAGGAGGTGATCCGCGGAGGAAGCGGAGGCGCGGGGAAAGGTTGGCGGCGGGAATGACGCGCAGCGCGCCTTTGACTATGCGACAGACTATTGCGTCGAAGCGGAGCCACGGAAGCGACAAGATAGTGCGTTGTCGCGGCGTGATTAAAAAAAAAATCGTCGGGGCTTGTGACGGCGCGGTGCGACAAATGGCTGTATTGTGAACTCTCAGAAACGCATGCGCTACTTCGTTGCCGCATCGAGCCGGCATTACCCCGCTACGGCAGTATAGTTACTAAGGCTCCTGGCTACTAGGAGTAAGAATATGGGGAGGCGGAGGAGTAGGAGCGCAGCGACAGGCGGATGACGTGTCCGCGGCATCGCGGCCGAGGCGCACCTCTTTGGTCCACATGCGCGACGTCTGAATGAGCTGCAGCAGCGGGTCAAACTGCGCCTCGTCGTCGTCGTTATCATGGCTGTCATGGCCATAGACGAGCCCGCCGCCGCCGCCGCCGCCGCCGCGTCAGTCTGGAGTGCCGCGTCGCGTTCGATCTGGGATAGTCTTTGTCACTGAACCTAGAAATATACAATGTCTAGAGTGCTGCGTCGCGTACTAACGTCGATATACAAATCTATACACTGGGATCGTTCTTGCTGGTTTGACAGCGACCTCTCGACTTGGTTGCTGAGATTATGCCGCAGCCGCGCTTCTCGCGATTGCCTGCTGGAGGAAACACTAATCGAAGGATCTGCGCACATGATAGCCCGTCGGAATCGGACCGCAAGAAGGCTATGTGGAGCTAGCGTAATGACCAAGACGCGTTTGCAGGAAACAAGAAGCCCAATTCGTGGCAAATTGACAGCTTTCGAGAGGACGGTTATGGCAGAAGGAATAGTAAACTTGCAGGTCCGTCCTTTTCCGTCATTCGTGGTTTCTACCTCACTGCTGGCCTTGGTTCTAGAGGGGTGAAATGATGCCGCTGGTGGCAGCGGGAATAGGAAGAGAAAGAATGGTGGGCCAGATATAGAGACTTCACGGTTCAGATCGAGTGGAAGTCCGACATGGACGGACAGGATGAAGTTAGAAAGCGCCGACGCGATGCACGATACGGGTGCTTCATGGCGCGCTTCGAATACACCAGAGGACCGTGCGAGTGGGCCATTCCAGACGGTGATTTTTTTCGCCATCAACAAGACGGTCATGGCGTGACGAAAAACATTTCTGCTCTTCGCTTGCTCGCCACCTGTCGTCGAACCCACGTCATGGCTCGACGCTGAGGTTCGCGACAGAGGTTGCAGCGATAACAGTGATCTCTCATGGCCAGCCTCGTCTTTTCTCCGCGAGGTTCTTCGTGAGTTGTGTGAGACCAGTCACCACTGACCTGTGTTGGTCAGTCAATGAAATCACCTGATGCCAATTTGACCAAATCTGCCGTAACACGCAACCCATTTCTATTCTTACATATTCCTTACTGTAAGGAATTTTCTCGACATCCCTTGCTGCGTCCTGCAACATCTCGTACAGCAGCAGCCGTTGTTCGCTCGTTACTGCTAACGGGGCTTCGCCGACTTCGCGCGCACTGTTTCACCAAACCTCGCACTGCTGGCCCAGCCGTATCGGCCTACGCTTCGGGACTAGCCAGAAGCTCGCTGCCAGCGTAGCACTAGCTAGCTTGTACGCACCGCGTTACTGTTTGCATGTTTCGCGTATAAATGTTCGCTCATGCCTTCGCTCACATTTTGTACTCGTTTGACACTTAGTGCAATCCTAGCTACCTCGATTCTTTGCACCCGCAACACTTGGTATTCAGAGCCTATTTCTTTTCGGACCGCGCATCTCCGCACCCCAGGAAATCAACTTTCGATTTTTCACTCGAAGGGACTCACGCACCTTAGCCCCTAGGAGCCGCTGTCCTCGCGTTCTCTCGTAAACGCGTGCAGTCATGATTGCGCTTAGACTAAGCTGAGTCGACGCCCTTCACAATGGCCGAGCACATCGACGTCACCACCCTCACGCATGAGCGTCTGAACGAATTGCTGCAGCAACTTTGCGAAAGCTCTGAAGAAATCGCGGCGCTGACGGCAGAACGCAAGTCCATGCAAAACGACATCGCACGAGCACAGCAAGCACAATCCCAAGCACCTGGCACTCCAGTACAGCCCGCACCACAAACATCGCAACACAGGAGTGTGGGGCAACCCGCGAGCACGGCCAGTGATGGCGTCGTCCGCCACGATGGAGACGACGACCATGGCGCGACACACCCCGAAGCGACGAATGCGATCCGAAGCCAACCGCGCGTCACGATTTCGGCACCGATCAACGATTCGGCACTGCCGTCACCGATGTCGCTGAAGCCGCAGCGTCCGCCATGCTTTGACCCGAGTCAACGGGGTGGTCCTACCGTTCAGGCGTGGCTGTTCACGATGAATGTCTTCTTCGACGCCAACTACTTCTCGGAGGATACGCCGAAAATCCGTTACGCCGTGTCGCTGCTGCGAGGACCCGCCATGGACTGGTGGCGCGTCATCGTCACGAAGCCGAATGACTACGCGACTCTACCGACACGGGAAGGACAAACCGGACCCTAGGCGCCGTCGTATTTCGTGGAGGTGCCCCAATATCGCACGTGGGACGCGTGGTGCGCAGGTCTGCGCGCTCGATTTGAGCTAATTGCGGCTTCGATCGCGGCGCGACAGAAGCTCCGCACTTGGCGCCAACTCGGCTCCGTCCAGTACTACACCAGCGGGTTTCTGGCGCTATGCGAGCAAGTGGGTTATATGCACGAGGGCGAGCGCATCGACCGCTACATCGGCGACCTAAAGTAGGACATCGCTCAGGAAATCCAGCTTCACGGCGTCACCGATTTTCAAGAGATTCTCGCTATGGCGGGAAAGCTTGATTTCTTCCGTCGACCGAGACCGGGGTCCTATGGAAGCAGTAACTGGGGACATCGGTCTCGTGGGACGAACGAGGGCGCTACGATACGTGCCGTCGCCGCGAATGCCGCTGCCGCACCGTTCAAGGGGCGCTGCTTCGGGTGCAAACGGCCGGGACACCGTAAGAGCGAATGTCCGGAAAACACTAAGGGAAAGGGGGAAGTTGAGCACCAGAAACAGACCAAGCAGCAAAGAAACGCTGGGAGTCAGTAGCAGACGGGCCCTCTACTGACAAGTCATGCCGCTCGCCCGACCCAACCGACCCTCACTGAGTGATTGTGCCGGTTCACGTAATCAACCACACCCGGCCGGATAAGGAGGGTACTACGGTAGACAGCCCCATACTGCTTAGTGGGAAAATCGGGTCGGACTTAGTTAGAATCTTCGTAGACGGGGGAGCCAGCTACAACCTTATCAATACGACCACGGAAACTTAAACTACCACTGGATAGATGCTTACCTAAGATCGACGCAAGGCTGGTTGACGGCACGCCACTGGCGATACGGGAACGCGTAGACCGGGTTCGGATTCGATGCGGGGGTAACTTCACGTTAAGTCAGGAAATGCTCGCAACAACCCTCGACGGAACCGACATTTTACTCGGTCGTGATTGGCTGCGACGACACAATCAGCGAATCGACTGGACGACGGGTGACTGCACCGTGCGAGTGAACGGTAACAACATCGCCTTACCTCGCTGGGGCTCGCCTGAGTCTTCGTTGGTGCATGTCAACACGATCACGATGAAACGCGCCGTAGCGGCAGGAGCTGACGTGTGCGCGGTCGACATTCGGGAGGCCGAGGCAGCAGACAAAGAGGGGGGATTTACAGAAACTGCTAGCCGACATACCAGATGACTTGGCAGCACTCCTGAAGCAGTACAGTGGGATAATTCTGGATGACCTGCCGACGGGACTGCTACCTCAGCGACCGCACGACCACAGGATAGAATTAGAACCAGGGGCACAGCCGACAGTGCAGCGACAATTTCGACTGACCCAACCCGAACTGGACGAACTGAGGAAGCAGCTGTATTACCTGCTCGAAAAAGAGTTCATTCGTCCGAGTTCGTCACCCTTCGCAGCACCGATACTGTTCACACCGAAAAAAGACGGGGGGTTTCGCATGTGCATCGACTACACAGCACCGAACAGGGTTACCATCAAGTCCCATTACCCCATCCCATGAGCCGACGAACTGATCGATCAACTGCGCACATCCCGGGTTTTCTCGAAAATCAACCTTCGAGGAGGCTACCACCAGATCCGAGTCAACCCACCCGACTGCCCGAAAACAGCTTTCCAAACACGCTACGGATCCTTCGAATACATTGTCATGCCCTTCGGACTGCCAACGCCCCCGCCACTTTTCAAATGACCATGAATGAAGCCTTCCGCCCGCTTTTAGATAAGTGCGTCATCGTGTACCTCGACGACATACTGGAGTTTTTAGGGCACATAATTTCAGCTGACGGAGTGGAAATA